AGACCCGGGTCTCCGCGTGAACGTGGCGAGGTGGGCGCCAGTCCGTGAGTTCGTAAAGATCGCCACAAGCTCACAGCCATGAGTAGTCAGTGACAAATTGGTCTTGGAGGACAGCGTAACTCACCAAGTTCGTAGTGAATGAGGAGAGGTGGAGACCTGCAAGCAAACCAAAAGGGGCTGCCGGACATGGGAGTGCGGTGGAGGCATGTGATACGACTGGGCACCCAGAGGGGTCAGCCAGACTGACCAAGGCAGGTGCAGTGAGAGGTGTGACTGTAGTGCAGTCGCGGAAGAAGCAGCGAGTCGCGCCTGAGTCAAGCGTGAAGGTGTGCAAACCCTCCACAGAAGCTGTACCTGTGCTCCCAGGCTCACAGGCTCCTAGACTAGTAGGCCCCGCACTACCAGGGATGCGTCGCTAAGAAACCCACTCGTGAAGCTGCTGCGGCGAGAGGGTCTCCCGTTGACGTTGTTGCCGCTGCATTCCAGTACCTCCAGTACTAGTACCCCAACCAGAGCGGCCTCGCTGTATAACCCACTCACAAAGTTAGTGCGGCGAGAGAGTCTCATGGCGACGAGACTGCCGCTGCTGTTCAATTTCTCCAGGACCTATGAAATCCCAAGCTCTAGGACCAGAGCGGCCACGCCGAATAACCCACTCGTGAATCTGTTGCGGCGATAGAGTCTCTGGCTGACGCTGTTGTTGCTGTCCTCCCGTAGACGCTGCTACGACGGTGATAGTGGCCATGACAGGCAGTGGCAATCAGTAGCAGCGTCGCAAGGGCGCTAGTCGCGACTGTTGTAGCTGCAGCTATAGCAGTAGCGGTAGTCGCTGTAGGGGCAAGTGTTGTGGGTGCAGCAGTAGGAGCGGTTTTAGGAGTGGCTGTAGAAGTCAGTAGGGTGCGTGGGCAGCAGAGTGCGCACGGGGAGTAGGGCACACACTAGCAGCAGGGCATGCGGGCAGCGGTGCCCACTAGCAGCAGGGCACACGATAGCAAGGCACGCAGGGCGCGGGGAGTGCAAGCACGCGGGCGGCAGGGCAGCGCGGACTGCAGTGCGGCGCGCGCTGGCTGCAAGGCACGCGGGTTGCAGGGCAGGGCAGCACGCGAGCTGCAGGGCTGGGCAGCTTGCGGGCTGCAAGGCGTGCAGGCAGCAGAGCAGGGTGGGGCGGCGAGCAGGCTGCAGGGCAGGGCGGCGCACGGGCTGCAGGGCTCACGGGCTGCAGGGCAGGGCGGCGCGCTAGCTGCAGGGCAGGGCAGCGAGCGGGCTGCAGGGCAGAGCGGCGCGCGGGCTGCAGGGCAGGGCAGCGTGCGGGCTGCAAGGCAAGGCGGCGCGCGAGGTGCAGGGCAGGGCAGCGAGCGGGCTGCAGGGCAGGGCAGGCACGCGGGCTACAGGGCAGGGCAGTGCGCGTGCTGCAGGACAAGGCAGAGCTTTGGCTGCACGGCACACGGGAAAACGGCTCTCCTAGGGGCACAATTCGGGCAGAAAAACGGCTTGCCTAGGGGCGCGATTCGGGAAGGAAAAACGGCTCGCCTAGGGGCTTGATTCGGGTGGGAAAAACAGCTCATCTAGGGGCGCAATTCGGGCAGGAAAAACGACTCGCCTAGGGGTGCGATTCCAGCAGGAAAAACGGCTTGCTTAGGGGCGCGATTCGGGCAGGACTAGGGGCGCATTCTGGTGGCGCGCCACAGACAGAAAAAACGGGCAGAACGGAACTAACGGTGGGCCCTAAACGAGCGGTCCTACGGATGGACCTGCTCTGATATTATATCAAAAATAACGTTACAGGGCTTGCTAGCTGTTGCAATGCCATTCTAGCTATATGGACTTGCATGCCTCATTTTGTATTCCAATTCTCGATGTTCTCTCAATCTCTTAGGGCGTATTCCTATCCTCCTATCAATCTGACCTCATATCAAGCTCACACTGAAAAATCCCCTAAACCCAAACCCTCTCGCTACTTTTCCCAGGCAAAAGTACAATCTTGATAGGAGGTGGTCTTGATAGGAGGCTATAGGAATACGCCCTTAGTGAAACTATTGTCAAATTTCCCTGTGATGATAGGAAGTAGTGAGAATGCTAGTGCAACGCTACGATTACCCGCACAACCCCGTGCCCTACTTCGTAGTCTATTCCCGTTGCGTAGTGAGTCTCCGCAGCGAGGGCACTGCTTCGCCCCACCTCCGGCCACCCAAGGACATGCGGCGCTTTTGAAACAAATGGTTCATGCACAATGTGGTTCAGAAAGCCTTTGTGAAAGGTTTTGTAACCACGGAGTTATAGAGGATGCGATTAATTCTTATGTGAAGTGAGTGAAGTGATGTTTGATTGTCCACAATTTCAACCAAAATGGTGGACTGTCCATGGATTCCTTGCCGTTGGCCTTTGCGCTCGGGGGGATTCGTTCCTGCAATGATTTCCATTTTTGTGCAGGCAGGGCAGCTGCAACACAAACTTGGGTTGGCTGAGTTTGCATTGCATCTGTTCAGTTGACTTGACTAGCAAGTATTTAAACGGCCATACCAAATTGTACTATTGACATGTTTCCACTGAATGTTCATACGCTTACGCTGCTAATATCGGACCCTGCTGGGAATCACCAGAGATATTTTGAGATTTGCCGTCGTTCCAGCAGTTTGTGTGAAGATACGGTGTGCCAATGTGAAGTGTTGTGTGTGCTTCTCCGTAGAACTGGGTACGTCACGGGTTAACTCCTGAAATAAGAGAGGTTGGGTGAGGTTTCAAGTCAGCCGCGTTCGTGATTGCAGCCATCACAGAACACTAAGAGAGGACTATTGGATGTGTCGTACTGTACTCCGGAAACCTGGAGTGATGTTTGAAAACTGTACCTAAAAGCTGCTGTGGTGTGGAGTCAAGAAGCTCTGGATTGCGCGTGTGTCATGGCGTCAGCAAGCTGTATTTGTTTGCTGACGTGCTAAATTTAGCCCCCGGGAGCCAATAGAACCACGTCAGGGAATTCCAGCTCAGCCTGTCACATCACTTCCAACCCGTCTGTTTCCCTCCCTCCAACCAGGAGAAAACTTGCCCCGCTTAAAGCGTGCTCTGATACGCCGGGTCGCATTCTCCACGTGGAAATCAAATTTCTTCATTCAGAAAAGCGCTGCGCTGCAATTGGGTGCTATCTGCTCCATCCTGCAACAGATGCTCAGGATGACAATGGGTGGTGCTGGAATAAGGTGCTTCACGGCACTACACCCTAAATTACGAAGACATGTGTAAGAAATTCCCTGGTCCGTCCAGGGAAAGAATACAGAATGGAGGGCTGACGTAACATATGTTTGATTTTCTCCTCTACACGAAATACGTCAGAAACTCAAAGTCTCAAAGTTTCTCCTCCTTCCGATTCCGGGTATGCACTTTTAGACCAGTATTTAGGGCATGCAGACAGAAACCCCCACAATCTGGACTAACTGCGTCAGTGCCCATAAATGGATTGCACCGTTGACACCTCCCTCCCCACCTCCTTCAATTCGTCTCCTGCTGGTTCTGCTTCTCCTTTGCCAATACACAACACAAATGTGGGACACGAGAACATCCATTCATTTCCATTCGCATCGCTTCCTCATAAGATAGAGAATTGTCAGAGATCACACACAGGCGCCGCGAGAACCTTTCCAAGGGCCAAGCCTACGAACGATACGAGACGCTGCACTAGGCAGTACCATTATTGGAACGCTTTTCTGTGTAATGGAGGTCGCGCAGCTACGCGAGACAGCGGCTAGCCCACGAGGGACAGTCGCAGAGGCAGTATCTGCTTTGAGGAACAAGATTACGAAACGCGACCAGACCACAGCTGGCTCCCCCAGCCGCCTTACGCGTGTAACGTTCCCGTCGAATGACGACCGAATGACGACGATCTGGGCGATCGAGAAGGCCATCGAGCGACAAATACACGACATGCGCCAGTGAGTATTTTCTCTCTCACCCCTCGCATGCCTCTTACCGAACGAGTGCATTCAGAGGAGCACTCGCGACTCGTGCCATGCACTGTGCTCGCAACTGCTCGTCGTTCCTCCCGCTTCCGCCGTGTCCTCTTCGTCCCCGCCGCTGTCTCTCCCTGTCTCTTCATTCCCGCCGTGTGCGGCCCGACCAACCAACTCTTCCTCTCTCCAACCAGACACACTTTTACTCGTGAACGCTGTATCCTCCTAGTTTTGGAGAGATTGACACTTCTTTCTTCTTCTCGGTCCATCTCCCCCCGTCCCCACCTACCCGCGTCCCCGCGTTCCCACCATCCCCACGTCTTCACGTCTTGCCTCCCCACCTCCCGACCCCCTCCCCGTCCCAACCTGCGGCGGTGTTTGCGCAGGGTACTTGCGCCGGAGCCGAGCCATTGCGCCTTGCACGCCGCAGCGAACCAATCATTGCTCTCCGCGATAAAAAAGTCGCCGCCGCATCCTGCCGATGTCGCATCATCGCATGCGACGATTCTCGATCCTCCACGTCCACTCGCGGCTGCTTTTTTTTCGCCAGTGATGGGCGGTACGCACGCCTGCGATTCGCGAGACGTTGCTGGAAACGCCGACACCGCCGGTGGTGGCGGCCGAGAAAATGCGGCAGATGGAAACGACTGTCCTGGCAGCAGCGGCGACGGCGAGATCACGGATCGGAGTGGCGGCGGCGGCAGCGGCGGCAGAGTCGGCGGCAGCGGTGGATACCAGGGCGCGGCGCGCATTGGAGGAAGCAACGGCGTTCAGCTGCGCGCCTTTGAAGAGAGCACCGCCGCGACGTGCGGCGGGGAAGTCGCCGCCCGTCCCGCTGACTGCGACGAGCGCCGCTATCACGAGCAGAACGGCTTCTGGCAGCCGTCCGTCTCAGCGAAGCGAAAGCGGCCATTCCGCTACGACGACGACGACTCGGCGGAAAGAAGGAGTTTTGAGGCAGCATCGACGAGCGGCCTTACTTGGTCGCCTCAAACGTCATTTTACTATGAGTCGTTGGCCGGGCTGTCGGACCCAAGCTGCCGCGATCATCGCGCGACGATGTGCCTCGCCGGCGATTGGTCGACGAGCAGATGGCCGCCGGTGGACTTGACGGAGTCCGGCAATGCCACGGCACAAGGTGGCGGTCGGCAAGATCGTCAGCCGTTCTGTGATCCGCACAACCGGAATCATCCGCAAGAGCAGCTTCATCCGCAAAGCCATCCTCAGCACGCCCCCATCGCCGGCCTCTCCGGGCATCCGGCGGCCGAGGGAGCACGCGCGACTGCGCGCGGCGCGGCTGAATGCGCAAGGGCCGGCAGGACTGCGAGAGAACCCGCCTCTGCAGGGGGTACCGGTGGAACGGGCGGATGGAGGGGCGGCATCGCAGAGGAGAACAGGATAGTGGTGGGCGCGCCGGCGCTACTAGCGAGCGCAACGACTGGCGGAGACCGCCTGGGCGGAGTGATGCGTGGCGTAGTGACAGCGCCGCCCCAACAAACCGCCCACGCACAGACGCAAGAGTGTGCTGCTGCTGCTGCCGAGACGCCTCACACATCCCAGGAACAGGAACGAGTGCCGGAACTACTGCGCAGTCAATCGCCAGCCGGAGGGACGAGCGGGCAGCCACACATAGCAGCCGATGCAACAGGTGGTGCATGCACAGACACAGCCATGGCAGCAGGCGCAGCAACAGGCGCGGGTGGTTCCTTACGTCCGCCCTCCATCCTTCCGCCTTCCATGGTGGCCCTCCCTGCAACTGCTCTGCTGCCGCTGCCCTGGCAGCACCTGCTGCCCCACCGTCCCTCCACCCACGTCCTGCTACCGCTGCCCTCTCCTCCCCATATCCCCGCTTTGCCCCAGCCCTTGCCCCTTATGCCACAGCCCCCGATACTATCACAGCCTCAGCTGCTATCACAACCCCGCCTGCTTATATCACAGCCCCAACTATCATCACAGCCTCAGCTGCTTATTGCACAACCCGAGTCCTCATCACAGCCCCCACTCCAGTCTCCTCTGCCCTTCCAGTCGTCTCCCCTCGTCCCAGCACCGTGGCCTGCCATTGCACCCCCACCAACACACGGGGTCGGTTTATCGACTGTTGCCCCCCACCCTCTGCCTGCCAACTCTTCTGCAATCGCTGCCACTGCTGCGCCTGCCACCACTGCTTCTGTCACTGCTGCTGCCGCAGGTGGCGGGCGGCATGGGGTGGGCGGCGGTAAGGGGGAGGGCATGGTGGGCGATGATGGTTATGGTCAAGGGCAAGGGCATCATGGTGATGATGATGTGACGAATCAGCGCAAGCAGAGGAGGTCAGTGCATCACACGGGTTGGACTGCCCACTGTGCTGCCCCATTTCCGCCCTTCATGCTCCCACCATCCCTATGCCCACACTTGCCTCTCTGTATTTCCCTCTGAAACTCCAACTCTTCTCTGTCATCATCTGAAAAAGGGTATCTGTGTGTGTCAGACCCCCTGGACTCTTCCCCTGTCACTTCTTACCCCCTTGTCCCTCCCTGTCGTCTTACCCCCTTGTCCCTCCCTGTCGTCTTACCCCCTTGTCCCTCCCGGTCGTCTTACCCCCTTGTCCCTCCCTGTCGTCTTATCCCCTTGTCCCTCCCTGTCGTCTTACCCACTTGTCCCTCCCTGTCGTCTTACCCCCTTGTCCCTCCCTGTCGTCTAACCCCTTTGTCCCTCCCCTGTCGTTCCCTTGTCTCTTCCCCTGTCTTCTTACCACTTGTCTCCTCTCCTTCTCATCTCACCCCCTGTCTCGTCCCCATGGGCAGAATGCACTCCAACCGGCAGTCAGCCAAGCGCAGTCGCCTTCGCCGCCAGCAGCTGCTGGAGAAGCTGGAGATGGATGTGAGTGAATGGGTGGGGAGCGATGGGATGCAGTGGGATGTAGTGTGGGGTGGGGTGGGATGGGATGGGATTTGATGCGATGGGATGGGAACGGACGGGATGGGAACGGACGGGATGGGATGCGGGCTGAATGGGTTGTGGGAACGAGAGGTAATTCACTATTTGCTATTGGAGTGCTTGTGCTTCGTAAGATGTATGCAACCAAGTGCCACATCAGGATGACATGCTGAAAGAACTGTGCATGCATTCCTCGGCATGGCTCGGGATGGGACGGAGCAGGACACTGGCACGAGGCATGGTGTCAGCGCATTCACCATTGTTGTTCCCGTTGAATTCCTCCCCCCAAATCCCCACCCCCCCCCTTGTCGTGACACAGGCTGCAAAGCTGAGGGTGGAACACAGCGCGTTGTGTCGGAGAGAGGCGGAAGCAACAGAGAGAGCTGCTGAGCTGCAACAGCAGCAAGTGAAGTTGCAGCAGGAGAGGGACGCAGTATTAGCGAGAGTGAAAGAGCGTGGTTCTGGCAGGCAATTGCAAGAGCAAGGGCTATGGGTCCATTGAGGAAGAGGAGTATAGATGATATAAACAGTGGATAAGATGGTCTATGTTGACAGTGTTCTTTTGCAGTATGTCACCGACTGTCGTGGAGGATAATACGGTATGCTTCGGTACCGTATGGCCCCGGATATAAGCGCAGGCCTATTAAAGGCGCATGCGCTTGTATTTGGAGCAATGTGCTTATGGCCGATCCTCAATTATAAGCGCACCCCTTGGAGAATCGTTACTTATTATAAACGCACCATTGATGTTAAAAAAATCAAAATAAAAAAATGTTAACCTAGCCAACATTTTCTAAAATTTCCAGTAACTAAGACAATCACATACAAGAGTGGTTTACAGGCTTTCTGCCTAGTCTACCCTATGGCCTATTCTTACTCCTCGTCCGACTCAGGCTCTGTGGAGTTGTTGCCTCAGAACCCATCTGCCTGGATGTCGTCTTCTACCTCCACCTCCTGGGACAACTGGCCTCTCCGGTGCGCCATCACCAATTTGTCTTCGCTCCCGTCAAGGGCGTTGCTGATGCCGCACGTGAGGAAGGCTTTCTTGATCAGGTCGGCGGGCACATCCTTCCACGCCCGTGAAATCCACTTGAGCACCACCTCCGGAGGTGGTTTCTTGATGTTCCCTGCATCACACGGAATGGGGCGGGGAAAACATGAGTCCAAAAATAGGCATACAAACACACGATTTGGAGACGGGAGAACATGTCGTCACTCACCTGCCGGGGTCAGGATGTTCATGCCGTCCTGCTCAAACCAAGTCTGGTACTGCTGACGAACGCTTGCTTTGAAGCTCTTGTTGATCGACACATCGAGTGGCTGTAGGTCTGCCGTGCATCCCACCGGGATGATCGCAGGCACGACGTTGAGCGCCGCGAATCTCGCCTTGACTTCGGGTGTCAAGTGACTACGACTCTGCAGGCCGAATTTCGGCTTCAGGAACGGCACCACGCCCGCATCGAGCCACTCGATGACGCCCGCGGCCTCCATCCACCCGTTCGCTTGGCAGCCGACCACAACATCTGCACGCAGGAAAACGACGGGTTAGAACGACTCTGGCAATACCGTCAAAAACACGCGCGACAACATCTTACCTTTCGGGAAGTCACCCTTGGGGAGTGTCTTGCGCTTGAAAAACACCCACGGCTTCAGCTTCTCGCCCGTCGCAGTGCACGCAAGCATCACGGTGACTCTCTCGTTCTGGTACCCACCGCTGCGGATGGGCACCGACTTCACGCCCGTCTGCTCCACGGTGGTCGTCGCCGGCATCTCCAACCACAGTGGTGTCTGGTCGGCGTTGATGATATAACGGTTGTCAATATCTGTATTTATTCCGGGCGTCTCATACGTACTGCCAAAACTCCTTGCACTGCTCCTCCACGTCTGCGCACAGGGAGGGAAGGACACATAGTAAGCCGGTTTAGTATCGCGCATAGGAGACAGGCAACAAAGCAAAAATAATAATCGGGATTCATCGAAATCAATGGTAAACAAACCACTTACGCTCCTGTGTTTTCTGAGCCACCTTTGTTTTCATGCACACACTGAGGTTCCACCGCTTGCGGAACCGCTCCGTCCACCGCTGAGTGCCTTTCCACTTGAAGTCAGGGAACAGCACCTTCATCACTTCTTTGGACCACTCTTGCAGCCGGCCGACCGAAACCGCAACTCCGCGGAGTCGCCAGTCGAGGAGTTGCGCGTACACCTTTAACTCCATAGGTCGGTACCAAGACGACCTCCTGCGACCGTGAAGTCGCATCCGTGCGCCGTGTGCAGCCTTGAGCGCCTCCGCTTGGGATTTCCACTCTGTCAGGCATTTTCAGTGTATGCCGGACTCCCTGCCACTTCGCTCACCGATGCCGCAAGCTCAAGCCGCACGAGCCACCTCAATTTCTCCTGGGCGGTGTAGGACCGTCGCTTATGTTGAGTCTGCTTGTGCCTGGGGGAGGGGGGGCGGGCATCTCGGTTCTCGGAAGACGGGTGGGGGCGTTTTCTGTTAATGGGCGGATATGTCGGTATCGGCATCTTCTCGCGTGGTGCGTCGCGCCACCAGGACTCCACACCGTCATCTTCCTCGGCAGTTGTGTCACGGTCTGGGAACACGTCTTCCTCGTCGCCCGCTGCACCGACGCCTCCAGCTTCGCCGGCGCCGCTGTCATGTTTGTCGGCGACCACATCATCGTCGACACCAACAGCCGACTCATCCCACGCGCAGGCTTCTGGTTGTCCCCACCGTGGTGCATGCGCCGGAGCTTGGATGCACGCATCGGGGGCCTTGGGTGTGTCCGCTTCAGCCAACCATTCGTCGAACGTGGCTGGTAAATACAGCTGGAGCACGGGCCGTTGGTGAGCACCTGCTGTAACAGAATCAGGCAGATTCGGAGGAGCGGGAGCTGCGGGAGGAGCGGGAGGAGTAGGTGGAGAAGGAGGCGCAGGAGAAGCAGGAGGAGCAGGGGGTGCAGGGGGATCCGGTGGCACTGGAGGCGCTGGTGGCTCACGAATATACCACACGTCCTCGATAAGTTGCCATGTGCGGCGTGGTTTTTTCTTGAAGAGGATGTGAGTCTTACTGAATTCCGCCATGGCTTCGCCTGCCAGGCGGGCAAGACTGGAAACTGAATGAAAAAAATGAAGACGAGGGTGCAGAAATGGGCAACGACGGGGACCTCGACTGCAAGGCAGCTCGGGGTCCTCGTCGATGACAGGTAGGAAACCCCCGCCTTCTCCTGTAGAAGCGCCTGCGTGGCAGCATATACGTTGCGCTAGCAGGGAATCTTGCCCACCCTTCGAGATGGCTATGCCCAAATCCACATGCCACACAGCACATGCGGCTCTGATTGGGCCGCACGGCAACATCCTCGTCACGGCTGTCACGTTCGATGGTTCCAGACAACATTGTTGAGAAAACTAGAACGAGAATGAATGCACTATGAAAGAGTTGGGTACAAGTACTAACCCTAATTGAGTTGTACCCCATATGGGCTACCCCACTACAGCCTACACAAACGCATAAGCTATAATGTTCTGACACACCCCCATAGGCAAAGTGGGGGAGAACAAGGGGTCACAAGACCAGTCAAGAAAAGCAAAACAAAGCAAGCTCAGGGTGGATCACAAAGTCACCACATATTCTGAGCACAAGTTCAAGGCTACAAGGCCAGTTCACATGCAGGATTACATATATATAAATATATATATATATAAAAGGCTAGACAAGCAAGAGCAGGTGTATATCTATATGTAACAGTACAAGCAAGGTCAAGAGGTGAGCAAGTGAGGCAAGGCAGGCACAAGACCCAGCTGAGTACAGTAGCGCTGATGATCACAAGGCGCAAGCGCTTTGGTGAAGATATCAGCAGTGTTGGCCTCAGAGGCCACGTACGCAAGACGCAGCTGACCACGCTGCTGCAGCTCACGAGCAAGGAAGTAGCGAAGAGCAATGTGCTTCGTTCTCTGCTCCAGTCTCTGCTCTCGACACAAGGCGAGCATGGCCTTGTTGTCTACGTACAGCATTGGAGGAGAACGAGGCGGCTTTCCGAGGTCAGTCAGCAGGTAGGTGAGCCAGCGAAGCTCCTGTGCAGCCATGGCCCCGGCGTAGATCTCAGCCTCACAACTGGAGCCGAGAACAGAAGACGAGCGGGTAGCCCACCACGAAACAGAGCCGGAACCAAGGTTGAAGGTGTAACCCTGTGACGACCGCTGCGTAGCCTGGTCGTCTGCCCAAGAAGCGTCTGCGTGACCAGTGAGGACCACTGGACTCTGCCCTCCAAGCACAGGCCCCATGCCCGACGTACTGCACAAGTAGCGCAACACCCTCTTCGATGCAGCCATGTGCTCCGGTCTGTGTCTCCCAGGAGCAACATAACGTGCGAGAATGCTAAGAGGGTATGCAAGGTCAGGTCGAGTGCAGGTCATCAGGTACATGAGGCAGCCAACAAGCTCTGGGTACGGGCCACTCGACTCTACGGACTCATCCGAAGGCAGAGCTGAGAGGGAGTGGCGAGTAGGCAGAGGAGTGGCCTGAGGCGAGGAGTACGTGAAGCCGAAGCGCTGAAGGACCTGCTGCACCATGTGTGAATGAGTCAGGGTAATGGTGCGGCGTGCTCTGTCCCGGGTGATCTGCAAGCCAAGGTAGCTGCGCAGTTCACCCAGGTCTGTGCAGATGTGTCTCTTCTGCAGCTCGGACTTCACGTGGGCGAGTCCAAAAGTGTCAGCTGTGGCAAAGACCAAGTCGTCGACGTACACGAGGATGTAGAACGGTGGCAAAGAAGTGTCTGTGCGCAAAAACAGCGACGGGTCGGCAGTAGAGGGAGCAAACCCAAGAGCCGCAAGCGTAGTCCTCAGTGTGTCGTGCCACTCACGCAGTGCCTGGCGGAGACCATAGACTGGCCGCAGAAGGCTCCACTGGGTGCCAGGAGGAACACGAGATGAGGTGAAGCAGCACCCAAACACTGGAACTCCTCCTGCCTGTCCTCAAGGACGTCCGTGCCAAGGGCACACTCACCCCCGACGGACGGAGGACAGACAGATTCAGACTCAGCGACAAGACTAGCAGCGTAGTCTAGACGATAGCGAGCAGCAAAGTCGACGAGCTCAGCAACGAGGGCAGACGCAGTAGTGGACTCAAAGGAAGGGTCAGTGACGACAGTAGCAAGGAGACGCGTGACAGTAGGACTGGCAGCACGAAGAGAGTCCGACTCCGGGTCGGCAAGAGCAGGAAGAGAGGACTCAGGAGGAGAAGGCCAAGGGGCACGCAGAGGAGCAGTGGACGGACGCAGAGACATCCGGTGCGTGCCAGGGATAGGAGGAGGACGCTGACGCGAACTACGACCACTAGTGTGAGCAGGACGGACAGGCGACGTAGGGCGAGACGCAGGCTCACGACGCTCAGCAAGACCTCCAGTAGGACCAGTGTAGGGAGAGGGAGCAGGCAGTGGGGAGGCCGGCTGTAACTGTAACTGTGACGGGACAGGCTGTGGACACTCTAAGGGAGGAGGAGGACCAGTAGAAGGCGGGAGACCAAGAACCTGCTCAAGGAGCGGAACGAAGTACGGCCGAGGCCGCTCAGCGACTCCAGACAGAGCAGGGACAGCACCAGCACCCCCAGCGGCAGCACCAGCGCCAGCAGCACCTCCAGCTCCAGGACCTCCAGCAGCACTTGTAGCACCTACAGTAGCATCGCCTCTAGGACCGACAGCAGTAGTCTCAGCACCAACACCCTCAGCAGCTCCAGCTCCAGTCGCACCCGCCAGCCCAGAAGCTCCAATACCTCCAGTACGAGCACCTCCGGGACCCGCGGCACCAGCACCCTCAGCAGCCGAAGACCCTCAAGCTCCTGCAGCACACCTTTAGCGCCGGGCAAACCACTCGCGTAGCTCCTGTGGAGAGAGTGGCTCCCGCCGAGACGAAGCACCCGGAGAACATCCAGGCCTAGCACCACACGACGCCACACGAGCAGGCCCAGCTCCCTCAGGCTCCACACCCCCAGGCTCAGCACCTCTAGACGTAGCACCCCCAGGCTCAGCACCCCAAGGCGTAGCACCCCCAGGCTCAACACCCCCAGGCTCAGCACCCCCAGTCTCAGCACCCCCAGTCTTTGCACCCCCAGTCTCAGCACCCCCAGTCTCAGCACCCCCAGGCGTAGCACCCACACGCTCAGCACCCCCAGAGTCAGCACCCTTAGGCTCAGCACCCTCAGCAGCACCAGAGTCACCAGTGACCTCGACAGGCTCGACTGCGTCTACCTGGGACACACCTGAAGGGGCTGGACCCTGAGGGGGGAGGGGGTCTACCGGGGGGGGACCTGGTACGAGGAGGAGCGGCGGCGGGGGGAGGGACGGAGTGCGGTAGGGGAAGAGGCGGTAGTAGGGGACCGACTCGTCAAACGTGGAGTCCTGGGAGGACAGAACACGGCGAGAGGTGGGGTGGTAGAACTGCCACCCATGCGTGTCAGGGGGGAAGCCAAGGAAGACGCAAGGAGTAGCACGAGGGGACAGCTTGTCCGCAGACAAGTCGCGGACAAACGCCCGAGATCCCCAGACACGGAACGCAGACGCATCTCCAACCTTCCCCGTCCACAGCAAGGCTAGGGAGGTCTCCGGCATGGAGACCCTGGGGTGAAGGTTGAGCTGATGCGCCGCGTACCTAATCGCAAACGGCCATAGAAAATGGGGGGCAGCCGGATGCATCAAGGACGTACGGGCGACGTCCATGACCATGCCAATGCGGCGCTCAGCAATCCCATTTTGCTGTGGAGAGTCCGGAAGCGTGAAGGTCTGGCGGATGCCTCGTGCACGACAGTAGGCTCGCAGAAGGCCAGAGGAGAACTCTCCGCCTCTGTCAGAGTGCAGACGCAGAACAGGAAAGTCCGAGCCGAAGCTCTGCCTGAGCTGGAGACGAGCTGCGCGGATCCAGTCGATCAACACCTCAGTGACATCACCCTTACTGCACAAGGGGAAGACTGTGGTGTAACGCGAGTAGTCGTCAACCACCAGCAGGAAGTAGTGCTCGTGACCCAGTCCACGGACGCGGGCGGGGCCCCACACGTCCATGTGAAGCGTCTGCAGCGCGGCCTCTGTCGGAGGAAACTGGGAGGAGTGAGGGGCAGCCCGCTGCCGCCCCTCGACACAGGGGACGCAGTTAGGGCCAGGCCCCGGAGGAAGGGGAGGGAGGGACCGGGGAAGACCAGAGACAAGGACACGGGAGGCCATGCCTCGGAGACGAAGCAGGGAGGGGTGACCAAGGCGGTGGTGCCAGAGGAGAGTCTCGTGAGACAGGAGGCCACACGAGCAGGGGGCAGACTCAGGACCAGACCTGGACGCTGCAGCAAACACCTGACCCGACGCAGCTACCTGACCAGACGCAGGGACAGGAGGAGACGCAATGGTCAGTGTGTACAGGCTCGACCCCAGCCGACGAGTAAACATGGCCAAGTGTCGGCCCGTCCGAGCGTCCTTGCAGTGGGTCACCTTCTGGCTCGCAGGAGTGAACTGGTGAACCCCCCCATCCTGTAGGTGAGCACCACTCACCAAGTTCGTAGAGAACGAGGGGAGGCAAAGACCAGATAGGGGGCCAGAGGGAGCCGCCGGAAACGGGAGGACAGTGGAGAAGTGAGTAAGGACAGGACCCCCAGAGGGGTCTGCCAGAGAGACTGCAACTGGCCGACCAAGCGGCGTGGGTGTGGTGCGGTCTCGAAAGAAGGAGCGGGAAGCACCCGAGTCAAGGGTGAAGGTGAGGGAGGCCGAAGCCGACTCGGTACTTGAGAGCGCGGACTCACCAGCACCTGAGGAAGCAGACGCACGAGTACCTAGAGCAGCAGCCTCGCTAGCACCTAGAGCAGTAGCCTCACCAGTACCTAGAGTAGCAGTCTCAATGCCCGGGTCGGGCGAGAAACACCGGTAACAGTCACCCTCATCACTAATAGTCACAGCATACATGGCAGCAAGAATAGCATCAAAGTCAAGGTCAAAGATAGCTACTCCCGCCCTAGACAGCTCACCCCAGCGGGGGATCTTAGTGGCCTCCGGGAACTGGTGACGCCAAGCGTTCGTCAGGCGGCCAAAGCAGCGCTGGGTGGAGTGCGCACCCCCACACAACTCACCCGCGCGGTCGCCGGTGCGAGTGCGCTGCTGCTGCTGCTACTGCTGGGGCTGACCACCACCGGAGCCGGCCCTCTGCGCAGCGCCACCCCGACCAGCTCCACCTCCTCCACCACCGCCTCCTCCACCTCCGCCACCTCCACCACCTCCGCTCCCACCGCCACTGCCGCCGCCTCCGCCTCCACTGCCGCCACCGACACCTCCACCCCCGCCACCACCCCCACCGCCACCCCCACTCCCTCCGCTGCCTCCACCGCCGCCTCCACCGCCCCCGCTAGCTCCTCCAGCGCCCCTGCCCCCCTTGCCCTTGCCAGGGCGGCGTCTCCCGCTAGGGGTAGACGCCCTACCGACCGACTCAAGCCCAACGAGGTCGGCCGCAGCAGCAGAGACAACAGAGGGCAAAAGGGGGGAGGGGGAACACCCCTCAAAGATGGGGGTGCGAGGGTCACCACGAGAGGCTCCTACAGCGACTATGCTCTTCTCTGCTGCTAGGAGGGCCTTCTCGAGGAGGTCAACGGTGAGAGTGGTGGGGCAAACTGAGAGGAAGTGGTCCCTGACTACGCGAAGGGAGTCAGGGAGGCGGGTGACGATGTAGTAGAGAGTGATGTACATGGGGGGGGGGGGGTTCTTGGCGCAGAACTCAGCAGGAAGCGCAGCGCGGTAGCGAATGTCACTAGTGCGGAGGTGCGTAATGAGGTCAGCGACTGTGGGAAAGGCAGCAAGGTCAGAGAAGAGGTATGGTAGCATGAGGCGGCTCAGTGCAGAAGTGGCAGGGGAGGAGTAGCGTGCAACTACAGCATCGTACAAGGTCTGAGCACTCTTGTACTGGCTAAAGTGCGCACGCTCAGAGGTAGGCAGGTGGCGACACACAGCAAGACGTGCAACAGCATCGCGTGTGGCCCACTGTGAGCGAACAGTGGCGTCAGTATCAGCAGCAGGGGCAGGAGAGGCACCAGAGGTGAGGTCAAAGAGGGAGAGACCGTTTGCCCTATCGCACTGTAGGAAAAGTTGCAGGTCATCTACCCAGACGTCAAAGTCAATGGCCCGACCCTCAGCGTCAAAAGCAAGGACACTAGGGGTAGCCATGACAGCAGTAGACTAGTAGCGCGAACAGTGGGGTAAGCGCAGTGAAGTGACAGAGGCGCTGCTCTTACCGGATAGGGCGGCTCGGGCGGCTCCGCGGCTCGGCAGGAACTGCAGCTCGGCGGCTCGGTGACTCGGCGGCTCGGGCGGCTCGGGCGGCTTGGCGGCAACTGCGGCCCGGCAACTCGGCGGCTCGGGCGGCTCGGGCGGCTCGGCGGTACGGCGGCTCGGGCGGCTCAGGTGGCGCGGCGGCTCGGGCAGCTCGGGTGTCGCTGGCGGCTCGGCAGTAGCTCGGCGGGGCCGCATGAAGGCGGGGCCGGGGCCGGGAAGGGCGGGCGACGGGGCCAGGAGAGGCTGGGCCGGGGCCGGGAAGGGCAGTGCCGGGGCCGAGAAGGGCGGCGTCGGGGCCGCAGAGGTAGGCGACGGCGCCAGCAGAGGCGGGGCCGGGTCGGGAAGGGCGGCGTCGGGGCCGGGAAAGGGCGGCGCCGTGGCCGCAAGGTAGGCGACGGGGCCAGCAGATGCTGGGCCGGGTGGGGAAGGGCGGCGTTGGGGCCGAGAAAGGGCGGCGCCGGGGCCGCGGGGTAGGCGACGGGGTCGCAGAGCGGCGGATCGGGGCCGGGAAGGGCGTCGTCGGGGCCGCAGGGCTAGGCGACGGGGTCAGCAGAGGCAGGGCTGGGCCGGGAAGGGCGTCGTTGGGGCCGGGAAGGGCAGCGCCGGGGCCGCGGGGTAGGCGACGTGGCCGTAGGAGTAGGCGACGCGGCCGCTAGGGCGGCGGATCGGGGCCGCTAGGGCGGCGGGACGCAGCCGCTAGGGCGGCGCGACGGGATGGGGCCGCGAGGGCGACGCGACGGGGCCTCTATCGCGACGCGACGGGGCCGCTAAGGCGGCGCGAGAGGGTCGAGAGAGGGGAGCGCGACTCGGGCAGGGACTGAGCGCGCTCCGGGCCGGAAAAAAAAAAGTTCGAATTGGTGGGCCCTAGGAACAGTTCCCACGAGGGAACCTGCTCGATACCATGAGAAAAATAGAACGAGAATGAATGCACTATGAAAGAGTTGGGTACAAGTACTAACCCTAATTGGGTTGTACCCCATATGGGCTACCCCACTACAGCCTACACAAAAGCATAAGCTATAATGTTCTGACAATTGTGCGGTGGGAAACCGAACTGTAGCTGTTTCTGCCTGAAAACCATGCACGATCCCACTTGGTGCATGGTCGGTTGAATTCGCCTTATTGAGAGCTTCACTTTGGTATGTTTTAAAGTGAATTTCATTTTTTCCCTTATACAAGTGCATGTGCTTATATATCTGACTCAATTATAAGCGCACCCCTCCAACAAACATTGTTTTATTATAAGCGCATGTGCGCTTATATCCGGGGTAATACGGAAATTATATACACAGGTAGTACAATCAGAACTAGGCACGCAACTGACATGACCAGATTGAGTTCGTCACCACTCTCCACAAGGGAGAGCAGCGGGCAGGGGGGCAGCTGAGGGTGCACGGAGCACCCCATGGAGGGCAGCAGGCAGGGGGGCAGCTGAGGGTGCCCGGAGCACCCCAGGGAGAGCAGCAGGCAGGAGGGCAGCCGGGGGTGCCCGGAGCACCCCAGGGAGAGCAGCAGGCAGGAGGGCAGCCGGGGGTGCCCGAAGCACCCCAGGGAGAGCAGCAGGCAGGAGGGCAGCCGGGGGCGACCAAGACACCCCAGGGAGGGCAGCAGGCTGGGGGACAGCAAGAGCTGGCCAGAGGGCAACAGGCGTTGGCGGCAGAGATGGAGGTGGAGCAGGGGGTTGGGGAGTAGCAGGAGCTGCAGGCTGGGGGGCAGCAGGAGTTGCAGGAGCTGGAGGTGGAGATGGAGGGGCCGCAAGAGGAGGTGCGAGGGGAGCTGCCGGTATGCATGTAGGAGGGGAGTCAAACAGAGAATCAACCCCAGTCGTAGGCAGGGCGGCAAGGGTGTTATGAGGGGAACCAGCCCTTGCCTGGAAGCGTGCAACAGGGGTTGCCGACAAGTGAGTCGCAGGAGTTGCAGGTGCAGAATCAACAGGGGGTCACTAGCCCGGGCGGCACAGGCCAAGCCAAAGGGTCGCGGGCACGGCGCCGAAGGGGGCGACGACAGGGAGGGTAGCGGGATGGGGGCCAGCCGGGGGTGACCCGGGCACCCCAGGGAGAGCAGCAACCAGAGGGGCAGCCGGGGGTGACCGGGGCACCCCAGAGAGCGAAGCAGCCAGGGGGGCAGCCGGGGGTGACTGGAGCACTCCAGGGAGCGCAGCAGCCAGGAGGGCAGCCGGGGGTGACCGGGGCACCCCAGGGAGAGCAGCAGGCAGGGGGGTAGCTAAAACGGCAGGAGCACCCCAGGGAGGGCAGCAGGCAGGGGGGCAGCTGGGGGCGGCAGGAGCACCCCAGACAGAGCAGCAGCCAGGGGTGACCCGAGCGCCCCAGGGAGAGCAGCAGCCAGGGGGCCAGCCGAGGGTGACCGGAGCACCCCAGGGAGAGCAGCAGCTAGGGGGCCAGCCGGGGGTGACCGGGACACCCCAGGGAGCGCAGCAGTCAGGGGGTCAGCCGGGGGTGACCCGAGCACCTAGGGGAGCGCAGCAGCCAGGGGGGCAGCCGGAGGTGACCCGAACACCCCAGGGAGAGCAGCAGCCAGGGGGGCCGCCGGGGGCGGCCGGAGCACCCCAGAGAGAGCAGCAGGCAGGGGGGCAGCCGGGGTTGACCGGATCACCCCAGGGAGAGCAGCAGCCAGGGGGGCAGCCGAGGGTAACCGGAGCACCCCAGGGAGCGGAGCAGCCAGGGGGGCAGCCGAGGGTGACCGGGGCACCCCAGGGAGCGCAGCAGTCAGGGGGGCAGCCGGGGGTGACCCGAGCACCGCAGGGACAGCAGCAGACATGGGGGCAGCCGGCGGCGACCGGAGCATCCCAGAGAGAGCAGCAGCAAGGGGGGCAGTCGGGGGTGATCGGAGCACCTCAGGAAGAGCAGCAGCCAGGGGGGCAGCCGGGGGTGACCGGACCACCCCAGGGAACGCAGCGGCCAGGTGGGCAGCCAGGTGTGAGTGGTGGACCCCAGGAAGAGCAGCGGCCAGGGGGGGAGCTGATGGACGACCTGGAGCAGCAAATGGTGGAGTGGAGCCGACTTTTGGAGTTAGATACTCCCATGGCGATTGCGGAGGAGCCAGGGGCAGACGGAGAGCATCCCAGACCACCTTCCCCATGGCCCCGTTTTCCGTGTGACACGTGTTTTCATACGTTCGCTACGCGAGGGGCTGCTGCGAACCACATGAGGGTATGCAGGGCGGCTGAGGCGAAGAGGCGCGCGCAGGCACTTGGCTCGATCCCGTCCCTGGTGGAGACCGATACGCAGGAGAGACCGACGCCACGGGACTTTGGGGACGAGGCGTGGGCCAGGGTTACGTCATGGGAGTGGGAAGCATTTTTCAGTGTGGAGGCGGTTGGAGGGAGGACAGTGCGCCGGATCCCACAGCGGGCCCGGTCGGGGGTCTTGGACCCGCTCTGTTGCAACTTAAAGCGTTTGAAGAGCCGACCGGGGGATGAAGCCGCTACCCTCCTGCTCTTGGCGTTTCCGCGCCTCATCCTAGCCGTGCCTCCCAAGCCAGGCATTGGTCAGAAGGCGCTGATAATAGAGCGGTTGGGGGCGTTCTAGGAGGGGAGGTGGCGGAAGCTGTTCGTGCCATGGCAGCGGCGCGGCCAGCAGTTCGCCCACTCGCCTACGCTTGCTCTGACCAGGACCCGGATGCCATCCGCCTGTCACGGTGCCGAGCTCGATGTAAAGTGGGAGAGTGGAGTCGTGGATTGGCTTGCCTTACAGCAGGAGAGTTGGCTCGACCGTCTGAGGCCATGGTGCAGTCGCTGCAAGAGAAGCACCCTGCTAGCTCTGGCGAGGTACCACAGTGGGTCCGTGATTTCACCGTCGATGCTCCTCAGTGGCCTCCACTGACGACCGACGTCCTGGCCAGAGCCATTCATACAGCCGCTCACGCTTCAGCAGCAGGGCCATCGGGGTGGGTCACAGAGCATCTGCGCGACACCTTCCACACTCAACCTTCCTGCCTTCCCCACCTGTTGGAGGTGTTCAACCAATGGGTGGCAGGACAGGTCCCCGAGCGGGCTCGGCCCTGGCTCGCCGCATCCAACCTAGTTGGGCTTTCCAAGCCTAACAGCGACGTTCGGCCGGTGGCGATTGGGGAGGTGCTTCCGCGTATCCTTGCTCGAGCTCTTTGCATCTCGCTTTGCCCTGCGATGGCTTCCTACTTTCTGCCGTGCAACCAGCTGGGAGCGGGCACCAGGGTCGGGGTGGAGATTCTTACTCATTCTTTCCAGTCAGCGCTGACCACTTACCCCGATTGTTGTGCGCTGCAGATAGACGTCGCGAACGCCTTCAATTCGTTTCACCGTCATGCGATGTTTGAGGGGCTGCGTGAGTTGCCTTTCTGGGGGTTGACCCCATTCTTGCGTGTTTTCTACGGGACACCTAGCAACCTGTACCTCCAAGCGGGCCCTTTCGTATAGTTTCTTGAGTCGGCATGACGATCGCGGCAGGGGGACCCGCTCGGCCCTTTTCTTTTTGCGTTCACGCAGCAGCAGATGATGGAGTCGGTGATTAGAGAGTTCAGGGACATACTTTTCCTCAGTTATGCGGACGATACCTATATCCTGGGACCAGCGGCTAGGATCTTAGAGGCTTTTGGGGTGCTGCGGGAGCGGTTGGAGTGGGTGGGGCTGGAGGTGCAGGCACACAAGTGCCGGTTTTGGGAGCGGGAAGGCAGGGATGTGGAGCGGGCACTGCCATTGGGGATGCAGCGGGTGGAGGAGGGTCTCACTCTGGTGGGCGTACCTATTGGGGAGGAGGATTGGGAGGTGGCCCGATTACGAGAGCGGCTTCGACAGTTGCAGGGGCCATTGCAATGGCTCCCCTTTCTTGACCACCCCTAGATGGCTTCACATCTCCTCGCCATTGCAGTTTCAGCACGGCCGATGTACATGGCCCGGACTATGCCGTCGCGTCCGGAGGTGGTGGAGGCCTTTAGGGATTGGGACAGCTGTCTGGAGGATTGCTTTGAGCAGCTTTTCCCACTTGGCACTTGGGAGCAGGACCCCGACCAATCTAGGCGCGCGCGCATGCAGCTGCATCTTCCCATACGACTCGGAGGGTTTGGGATCAGGGCGGCGGCCTCTTTGAGCGCGCTGTCCTATGTTTGTGGGTGGGCGCAGGCCGCGCGTGATGTTGCATAGTTGGGGGTGGCGGAGGAGGAGGCGATGTTTGCAGAGTACCTCACCACCTCGGGAGGGGCGGAGTTTCTTGATCCTTGGTTTGCCAAGGCTATTGAGCAGCTGCCAGCGACTATACACCAGGAGATGCTGGGCTTACCTCTGTGTGCAGCGGCTCCTCCTCTTCGACTTTTCCAGGTGCGGCAGCGGCAGTTGGCTGTAGAGGAGCTCCAGGCACTGCACCGCTCGGCTCATGACGATGCCACCCTGGCCTGTTTCACACCCCTTCAGGGCCCGGGGGCTGGTGCATGGATTTCGGCGGTCTCGGCTCACTCAGATCTCACATTCACTGCGGCAGAGTGGGGCATTGCTACTGCTATAAGGCTCGGGCTCCCAATTCAGCAGCTGCAGGTTGCGAGAAGGTGTGTTTGTGGCACAACGTATGTCGGCCCAGCAGACCCGCATCATGCCTTGAGATGCAAGCACCAGCACGGTCCATCTCGGGTGCATGATGAGGTGAAAATTGCATTGGCGAGGATCTCTAAGGCGTCAGGGGGGGTGGTGACGATGGAGGATAGTGTGGTGCTGCCGGGGAAGTGGGGTGACGTAGCGGTACTACGACCAATGGCCGGGGAGGCTCACGCTCTAGAGATCAGCGTCGCGGACCCGCTATTGCTGTCTCCATCTCTGCTAGGGCAGTGCGGTCGTTCTATTGGTGTGGCGGCAAAGGAATGGGAGCGTCGCAAAACGAGTGATTACGCGCCTCTGGTTGCACGCAACCGGGGCGTGCGATTCACCCCTTTGATAGTAGAGACGTGGGGGTGACTTGGCGGGCGTTTCCGGTGGTGGCTTCGACGACAGGGGGATGCGCACGGGGGGCTAGCCGTGTCACGGGGGGCTTGTCGGGAGGATGATTTTTCGTTTTCGGTTTATCTTTTGGGGTCTATGAAGGCGCTCATTGGGGTAGCGTTACAACGGGCGCAAGCTCGTGTCATCCTGCTTCGGGCGGCGCCTTCTATGGGGGGGGGTGAATGTGGACTTGGTGGACCGGGAGAAGGACGACGTCAAGGAGGAGGGCGGGGCTCTTTGGGTGGAGGCCCCGTATATGGTGGATGCGCAGATGTGACTGAGGGAGGGTGAAATGGGGTGCGGGATGGGGTGTGTTGATGGGGTGTCTTGACTGGGTGTTCAGTTTGGGTATTTTGATGGGGTTTTTATGGGTTTTTTGGAGTACAAAGGTCAGTGTGAGGGACATAAATTTTGCTAAATGGGTTGCATGAGATTTGGATTAGACATCCACGGCTGGTAAATGTCACCTTCTGTATTAGGTACAGCTACTAATGAGCCAACTAGAAATTGGATGGTGTTCTCAAGTCGTGCCCACCTATAGGCTAGTAGGCCATGGTCTCAAGTCTGTCATTTTCTTTATTGTGAAATGGGAGGATATGCGTTACAAAACCTTGATAAAATGTATTCACAGCACTGTTTGCATTTTGCACTAATTTCAGAAAGCGGCGGTTTCAGTATCGAGTAGGGGGTGAAATCTGGCGATGCCGTGTCAGTTTCGGTTGTCATGGGTTTCGGAATATGTTTTCCAGGTTTCGCTCTGTCCTACAAGGCTGCGTGTCAGGGTTTCCTCCTAGGCTGCGTATCGAAGCCTAGGCTGTAGCGAGCTAGTTCCTAGATCAAGTCCAAACCTTGTCTCGTGTGATCGAGCGGCATTTCGGCTGGAAACGTGCATCTCGCCTTCGTCGCGTTCGCATATCGACGCTTCCGCAAAGCCGTTGTGTAGCGCGCGCTCGTGATCGGGGGTTCGGTGGGCATAAATGGCAGAGATGGTGAGCTCCCGCTTCGGTTCGCCCACCCTCTAGTGCCGCAAATGTGCAATGGTCCGTTGTGTCTGCCATTGCTCTTTCTCTCTCCTTCTATTGTCGCTCGGTGGATGCCGGCCCGTCAGTGCCGAGATGCTGGTCGTTTAATGTCGGTCGTACATTGCCGGTCGTTCCTTCTCGGTCATTCGTTCCCAGCTGTTCGTCGCTGGCCGTTCTTTCCTGGCTGTTCGTCGCCGATCATTCGTTGTCTGTCGTTCAACTTCGCTCGCGCTTTTTTGCTCATGTCAGCCGATCCACGCGCTTTCGACGGTCCTCTCTCTTCAAACTATTGGTTGTATCTAACTACTTCCTGCCATCGGCATGCCGTGTTTCAGGAAGACATATGGAAGGAAGCATTTCCGGTCGGCACGGAGGTACTACCCATGCCATCCGTTTCCTGCTTCACCTCACCTTCGTTTACTTGCTTCTCATCCTTCGTTTTTTATTGGCACACCTTATTGCTGCATTTTGAATCTTGAATGTCAACACTCACTTTCCCAACCCAGTCTGCAAGCTTCAACGCTGCACACCTGTTAAGCACGTCTGTGATTCGTCCTTTGTCTTCCTAATAGCACGTCTTTGACCGTCCTTTATCCCATTTTCACCAACTCAGAATCTTAGAAGCTTATGCGGAAAGGGGTTCTCTAGGCTAAGGGCCCTGATAGAACTCCCATTAATAAGGCTACCTACTTCTCTCTGCTCGTCTTGCCTTGACCAATTATTATCCTGGAGTTCTTCCTTATGGAATTAATTTCACACGCATGATGCAATGGGAAGCATATACGCTTCGACCAACCGCCGTCTTCCAACACATTTTGTCCCCCCTCTCCTCTTCCTGTCCCCCATGCCTTCCCTATCCCCGCCCACCTCTTTTCTTCGCACTCTCTCTGCCAGTGGGACCAATACGACAAAGTGTACGAGATTGAGTGGGACTTCTCAAACCTTGATGTAAGCGCACACATTGCAGCTCTTTCTATCAGCTTTCCCTCTATCAGCAGTCTCTATATAAGTACAATCTCTCGCTCGCCTCACCCTGTGCCGATTCCTGGCCACAATCCTCAGTGGGAAGGCCGACACTCACATTCTTGAGAAGCGAGCCTTCCCACTCACGCTCACATCAGCGGTCGCATCCGTGTATCCTTTTCGTGTCACTTTATTGCGTAATACTCGTTGAGCCCACGGGTGCAGCCCTGAAAACAAGGCAGCCATGGTTCTCCCTGTTTCCCCCCTCTCTCCGTCGTCTTCCTCCCCTTGTCTCCCGCCCTCCCCGTACCACGCTTCTCCACAACCCAGGGGTTCGCATCAACAAGCGAGCACACGCACTTACATCCTGCTCCCCCCTTTCCCTGTGTCTCCCGCCTTGCCCTCGTGACCCTGCTCCGCTGTGTGCAGGAGGCGTTTGATGAGGGCGGCCCGCTGCACGACAAGCGCGTCTACCTCTTTGGATGCACAGAGCGTGAGTTGATTGAAAGGCTCAACGGAAGCCCAAAGCCCAATGGAAGCTGAAAGGCTCGTAGCAGTATGATTGAACTTGGTCCTGGACGTGGTAACGTCTCAAGATAAGATTGCACGAATGCCAGAAATCAGAACACAATTATGAAGGACAGAAGGACTCCGTGGTGCTCTCAATCTCCCTTTCTCCCACGTACACCTCCAATTCGTTTCGTGCTCCGTTTTTTGTTTTCACAAAGCATATTTCTATTCGTGACTTATCAGTCAGCTACACAGCTCTCCATGAACCCTCCGCCCCTGCACGATCCCATCCCATCCACCATCCTGCAACCCTGTCCCCACCATCCTGCGACCCTGTCCCCACCATCCTGCTACCCTGTCCCCACCATCCTGCGACCCTGTCCCCACCATCCTGCGACCCTGTCATGTCCCGCATTGCAGCGCAGCTGGTGCACTGGAAGGGCAAGGACAAGGTCGTGCACGTGCCAGCTGTCGTCGCGGTACGTGCATGGCTTGGCCTTGACGCTCAAAATAAAGAATTAGCCATAGAGACGGGTACAGGATTTCGGGTTTTGGTTAGGCTTGGGTTTGGGGTTCAGGGTTCATGTGCTCCGCATGTTTTCGGCCTTTGTTACATGGTCCGAGGTGAAGGTCAGGTTTCGAGGATGTCAGTTGGGATTTCTGGTCTGCCCGCAACATTTGAAGTATATGCATTGTCAAGGCCCCGCCCCCAGCCCTTCCAACCTCAATGCTACCACGTCTCTCCCTCATCTGTTCCTTCCTCACCTCCCCACCCCTTCTTATTCTATCTTACATTGCATCACATTAAGCTAGCATTTAAGCCAATCTGAATGAAGACAGAGGAAGGGTTTACACCGACCGCTTATTAATCACACTCCTCCTCCTACCGCTTCCCATCTGTCCTAATTACGCCCAACCAGGTGCTGCCGCCGTTCGCCCTGTTGGGCAAGCTGGGCATCAGGGTCAGTGCAGATGGAGACCGAGATGATCGTGCCTAGTGCCTATCAACAGCATCCCACATCTTTTTACCGCTCTCTACCGCTCTCTAGATATGAGCAATGAGTCGAGTATTTTACTCGACTCGTTTTCGTTACTCGTTATGGGCGAGTAACGAGTCGGCTGTTTTCGAGAAATTACTCGGTTTTGACGAGTCGAGTATTACTCGTTTTAAAATGACTACTCGCTGTTTACTCGTTTCCGAAAGCAAGTAACGAGTATTTTCATTGCTCGTGAGTAAAAACGAGCACTCGCGAGTAAACGAGTACTCGTGAGTAAGCGAGTAAACTTGGTGGGGGAGTTGGCAATGGGTGTAGGTACGCAGGGCGTAGGTAGGTGATTTGGAGACTTTTGAGTCGACTCAAGAGTCACCTCGGTAGGTGATTTGGAGATCCACATCTGGGAAAGCCCCACTCTCAGCCCAACTGTGAAATCATGGGGGTTGGATTTTCTAGAGAAAGAGAAAGAGAAATGTGTGAAAGAGAAATTGTTCGGATGCACAAAATGTGTGAAATTGTTTGGGTTGTTTTTTCTAGATCCAGAGCGGTAACACGCGGTTGAGAGAGAGACATTGGTTGGATGCACAAAATGTGACGATTTTGTGTTGTGGGGAGTCAAATCTTCAAGATCGATGAGTTTAGGGTTGGTCGCGAACCTGTCATAGTTGACAGTGCACCATAGTCCATGACCTTGCAGAATTAGGGAGGGCAAAAAACGAGTCGAGTATTACTCGATCCAAAACGAGTACTCCATTACTCGGTCCGAGTAATAAATTACTCGTTTTTTTACACGAGTAATGAGTCGGGCTCAGGGGTAAAATTACTCGGGCGAGTAATACTCGACTCGACTCGTCTTCAAGACGAGTCGGCTGAAAACGAGTCCAGTATTACTCGACTCGGCCTTTGCTCATGCCTACCGCTCTCCACCAGGTGTTGTCACCATTCGCCCCGTCCGACAAGCTGGGCATCAAGTCGGTGCAGATGGAGACAGAGATGATCGTGCCAAGTGCTTATCAACTGCCTCCCACCTCTTTTCACCGCTCTCCACCGCTCTCCACCAGGTGTTGTCACCATTCGCCCCGTCCGACAAGCTGGGCATCAAGTCGGTGCAGATGGAGACAGAGATGATCGTGCCAAGTGCTTATCAACTGCCTCCCACCTCTTTTCACCGCTCTCCACCGCTCTCCACCAGGTGTTGTCACCATTCGCCCCGTCAGACAAGCTGGGCATCAAGTCAGTGCAGATGGAGACCGAGATGATCGTGCCGATGCGCGAGATGAAGATGGACTGGATCCCCTTCATACCCGATACCACTGGGTGCGTGTGATTACAGGGGGGGGGGGGGACATGGGCGAGTGTGGCAAAGCTTGAAGAGAGGAAAGGTTAGGGTCTTGAGAGACAGAGATGTGATGATCGTGCCAATGCACGAGATGAAGATGGACTGGATCTTCTACATTCAGTTCGGATGGTGCCAGCAGCCACCACCAGCCTCTCTATTTCATGTGTTTCTTCTGATCTTAAACCAATCATTGTGCCATCCCAAGTGCCATCCCAAGTGTCATCCCATGTGCCATCCCATGTATCATCCCATGTGTCATCCCATGTGCCATCCCATGTGTCATCCCATGTTTCATCCCATGTGTCATCCCATGTGCCATCCCATGTGTCATCCTATGTGCCATCCCATGTGTCATCCCTCCCGTGTGCCATCCCATGTGCCATCCCATGTGCCATCCCATGTGCCATCCCATGTGTGATCCCATGTGCCATCGCATATGTCATCCCATTGTGCCATGCCATGTGCCATCCTATGTGCCATCCCATGTGCCATCCCATGTGCCATCCCATGTGCCATCCCATGTGCCATCCTATGTGCCATCCCATGTGCCATCCCATGTGCCATCCTATGTGCCATCCTATGTGCCATCCCATGTGCCATCCCATGTGCCATCCCATGTGTGACCTTGTGCAGCCGGGGGTCGGACCTAAGGCGGCACCGGTCGAACATCTTCACTCTCAAGTGCATACAACGCAGGTGACCTCCCCCCTTCTTACGTGCTTGGGAGATTTATGCGTGATGTTATTTATGAGTGATGAAATATGTGCGTGATGAGTGTTGAGAATGTTTTTTCAACAGCCTAGATTGAGCTCATCTTGCCAAGTGTTTGTTTATGAGCAGAGCTAGGGATGAGCAAGAGGCAAACACGAACGTGTTTGCGTTCGCCCCTGCACGAACACCGCCGTTCGGCGAACCGAACACTGTTCGATTCGCCGAACGACTTTCCCAAAAAAGGGTGTTCGCCGTGCGCCTGTGAAGGCGAACACCTTGTTGACGCAGGCGAACACGAACGTGTTCGTGGCAAACACGTTCATGTTCGCCCCGGGACTACATTCATACGTTTGTGGATTGTGCATTGTTGACATTTGTTAGGTGGATGTAAGGTCCAAATAGAGTAAAATTCAAATCGTTGCACATTCCCTCCCCCCACCCCCCAAGCCAGTCCCGCCCTGCTTCATCCATGCTAGTGCCAGCGTCTGACGGCGAAAGGCTAGATCTGCACTTAAGCAACGGCGAAATGCTAGATCTGCACATAAGCAACGGCGAAATGCCTTGATCCGCACTTAAGCAACGGCAAAATGCTAGATCTGCACTTAAGCAACGGCGAAATGCCTTGATCCGCACTTAAGCAACGGCGAAATGCTAGATTTGTACTTAACTAACATCGAAATGCCAGATCTGAGCCCAAACACCAAGGCCCGCGACCTAAAAATTGGTCGCGGGCCTATTCGTCGACGAACACATTGGTGTTCGTCGAAGGCCCGTGTCGAACATATTGGTGTTCGTCCAAGGCCAGTGTCGAACACATTGGTGTTCGTCGAAGGCCCGTGTCGAACACATTGGTGTTCATCGAAGGCCCGTGTCGAACACATTGGTGTTCGTCGAAGGCCCGTGTCGAACACGAACACGTTCGTGTTAGACGCGCCTGGGCCAGCTGAGCCGGGCGAACGGCGAACGTGTTCGGGCGAACACCGAACACGTTCGCCCCGAACAATTTAGGCCAAAAAAAAATCCTGTTCGTCTCACCGATCCGTTTGTGTGCTGCATGCTGTGTGCTGCATGCTGTGTGCGGCAGGGCGGGGTTGAGGCAGATGAAGCAAGAGCGGGTGAAGAAGTTTGAATACTGCTTACCATGTACGTGCCATGCTGTGTGCACCATGGTTGCCTCGTTATTTCACGTTTGTCATCCGCCTTTTGCATGTATACCTGTGAAGTAAGCCTGTAAATCCGGATACGAATACGAATACGAATATTTTTTCTGAATATTCTCCGAATACTGTGTGGTTTCTTATTCTACCGAATACTGAGCGACCCAAAACCGAATACGAATACGATTCGAATACTGTCGAATTCGAATCGAATACGATTAAGTGTCGAATAATAAATTCTGTACAGGCAGTTTCGAACGGCTAATGCATTTTCGACACAGGGTGATGCAGTGTACCTTATAGTACCAACACCACGGTTCAATCCTGCACCACACGCTATCCCTAACCCCTCAACAGCTACTATCTTGCACGGCTCTCACGAGGCCTCTTGTACACAGACTGCCAAAAAATGATAACCACATGTAGGGAAAGTATGAGGGGGGTTAATGGTAACGAATACCCCGAATATTTGTTGCTCGAATATTCTACATTCACGAATACTCGTGATTCGAATATTTTCGAATTCTCGGTCGATTCCTATTCTCTCGAAATTCATGTATTCGAACGAATGTCGAATAGTTCTCAAATACCGAATATTCCTCTACATGCTTACTGTGAAGGTAACCTGGCAGTTACCACAGGATTGCTTCTGGAGTGGCATGTATGCATGCTTCATCTCAAATTACCGCATGTTGCTCACTGCAAGTACACACGGCCATTCTCTGGTTCTCCTGTACTGCCCGTAGGCCTGCACTCCTTCCTCCCCCACCAGGCATCTTCCTCCCCCACATGCGGGAGGAGCACGACGCGGACACGCTCGTGTCTCTCATGTAAACCCATCAGTCTTTGATCTCTCCCCTCCCTCACTTCCCCCCTTTTTCCACTCTTCCTTCCCTCCCCGCCTCCCGCCAGACAACTTCCTCCCCGCACATGCAGGAGGGGCCAGCAGGATGTGGGTGGCCATGGTCGCCCCAGTCATTCTTTTATCTCCCCTCTCCCCCTCCTCCCCTCCCACTCCACCCCTCTCCAACCTTGCCTCCTCCCTTCCCTCGTGCCTCCCCCGTCACCCCATCACACATCGTCCCACGGCACATGCAGGAGGAGCAGCAGGGGGACACGGTCGTCCCACTCTGTCCTGTCCCCCAGACCCACCCCTCCCTCCACATCCTGCTCTCCACTTATCCCCCCACCCCCCCCCAACACTCGTGCTCGCACACACGCCGTCAGACATCTTCCTACCGCACATGCAGGAGGAGCAGGAGTGGACACACAGTGAGTCCGCGTGCTCTCACCTTCCCTATTCCCTCACCCCTCCCCCCGTCATACATCTTCCTACCGCACATGCAGGAGGAGCAGGAGGTGGACACAGTGGTGTCCATCATGTACCCCTTTGAAGGAGACAACCCACCTCCCCCGGTAACCACCTCCCTCCTCTTTCGTTTGCCCTTGGGAGTGAGCTAATTCTGCTCCTCTCCGGAGATTACTCAAAGGACGTTGTGTGGGCATTTGAGCTCTGCACTGATTACTAGCTTTTCTGTGGGTTTTCTTTCTTCTCTCTCTCACAAATCTACTCCCTGCTTCTCTCTGTCATCTTCTTTTTCCCGCCCCTCCCTGCATTGCCCTGTCTCGCACACTCTCTTACACTACCTGTCTTGCATGCTCTTTTACACTCCCCGTCTTGCACGCTCTCTTACGCTCCCTGTCTTGCACACTCTCTTACACTCTCTGTCTCGCACACTCTCTTACACTCTCTGTCTAGCACACTCTCTTACACTCTCTGTCTCGCACACTCTTGCCCACCCCCTGGCAGCTGCTGGCGGAGTATGACTGGGAGATGGACGAGTACGAGGTGAGAGGGTTTCTTTGCACGTGCCTTAGGCTGTGTGTGCGGATGTGGGGGTGGGTGGGTGTTGGGAGGGGAAGGGAGTTGTGGTGTTGGGGGGGAAGAGGCGTGTGGGTGTGTGTGTGAGAGAGAGGGATGGTATGTGAGACTGACCTCGGTGGTGAGGGTGGTATTTACCTCGAATGGTTGTGGAAGACCAGCACCTGCCTTCTCCGTACATTCACCATCCTCCTTCCTCCTCCCTCTTCCCTCCCTCCTCCCTCCTCCCTCCTCCCCCCTCCCTCCACCATCTCGTCCCCTCACTCTCCTCCCGCCACCCCCCTCATTCCACACTCCTCCATCCGTTCCTGCCATGCACAGGAGTTCACAGACAACCTGGTCAAGGACGAGTCGCTACCAGAAGCGGAGAAGGCCAAGTTCATTGTCAGTGCGCCCATCACTCTGCATACCATGCCATACCGTACCGTACCATACCATACTATACCATACCACCATACTGTACTGTACCATACCATACCGTACTGTACCATACCATACCATACCATACCATACCATACCATACCATACCATACCATGCTGTACCGTACCGTACCATGCCATACCATACCATACCATACCATACCATACCATACCATACCATACCATACCATACCATACCATACCATACCATACCATGCCATACCATGCCGTACCATACCATAACATACCCTACTATACCTTGCCGTACCATACCATGCCGTACCGTACCATCTTAGTGTTTGCAACTTGATTTTTTGTGCCACAAATACGTGAAGAAGCAGCTGAAACGGTCCAGGCCTAAACAGACCATCTTCTTTCTCCCATGTTGTTTTCAACTGTTGGTCCTCTCTTCCTTGCCGTTCTCTGTCAACTGTGGGTGCATCGCTGCAGGAGTATGTGAAGAAAGAGGTGAAAGAGGCCAAGCTTAAGGCAAAGAAGGTGAGAAATACATGATGTGTTGGGGTAAGTGGAAAACAACATGATAACTGAATTGACTGGTAATTGATGAACGTAGTAGATGATGAGATGTTCGGTTACCTCAGGCCAACCACGTCTGTCTTGTTTTTGGGTGTTCTGAAGAGGCTGTCAAAGCAGGTCATAACTGCGATGCTGTGTTTCAGCCGAATGGTATGGCTTGGCCTCCGAAGTTCTGTTCGGCTGGGTCTTCTTTGTCTTTTTGAATGCTTGTCGGGACGATGGCGTTCCTGGTCGTTCTATTGACTTCCTCGTCCCTCCCCTGTGGTGCAACCCGCATTCAGCTCACTCGACTTCAGTTATCCGTCAACTCAGTCTACTTCATTTCTCCTTCACTTGATTCAACCCATGCTGCTTCAGAAGCGGGAGGAGCGCAAGAAGGCGATAGAGGACATGGGGGAGGAGCGCCTGGAGGCGCTCAAGAACCTCAAATTCCTCAAGTTCTACCCCAAACAGAGTGAAGACACACCCGATATTTCCGAGTTCAAGGTACCGCATATGACTGTCCATGTGGCGTGTCTGCATCACGTGGTCTTTGTCTGCTGATGGTGTTGAGTGCATCACGTTTCTACTAAAAGCTCACGCCGTTGGTGATGTTCAATAAGCTCTTTGAATCTGCTTGTGTCGGAATGTGGACTGTGGTTTTAACTCCCGCCCCAAAAGTATCACCATCTGCTTAGCATGCTTGAATTTTCTCAATATCTGCTTCCGTACCATCCTTTTTATTTCTCCCCCACTTCTTTCTCCTTTGTGGTCGCGTAATGGGTGCTTCGTTGCTTCCACATTTTCCATCTATGCGCAGGCCCGCTACATCAACCGATATTACGGCAAGGCTCATGAAGTTCTATGATTATCAGTACACTTGGATGAGAATATCAACAGATTCAATTTGTCACAGCTGCTTGGCAATCCTACTATTCTGTTACGGTATCCATAACAACTAGAAATCAATTAGTTTATAATAGTTATCTAAAATAAGTGTACCACTATGACTAACGGTTCTTTCATCACGGCCTACAATTATGTTTGCCTCGATGTTGCGCAACGCTTCACTCCGTACCCTACCTAAGACACTCGCCGGGGCCGGCAATTATTGTAGTGGGGTGGGGAAAACTCTCATTCCCGATACTAGATACGGGAGGGAAATGGCGAATCGCGACTCTCCGCCGTCAGCTCACGTAATCTCCAGTGCTTCGCAATTATACAATGCGGGAACGGCGCACCTCCGAGTCGAGATTTCGCCTCGCTGCAGCTTCGAGCGAGTCGCACGCGCCACTGCTTACCGCCTGCACCGGCAAGCCATGACGACGGGTCTTTCCCAATCCATAATTACGGGCTCTCAGCGTGACTATAAAGTGGGTACTTCGAGTCCCTAGAAAATCATTCAGCGACAATCCGCCTTTTACTCTCCAAGCAATCCACCTGCTTCCTCCCGCAATTCGAGTTGTTAACTCTCTTTCGAATCATGGTCTTCACTTCGCCTCGCCGCGTCTTATTCCTAGGTGAGCGTTATTAGTACCCCTGTACTGCCAATGCGTGCCGAGCTCAAAACTTGCTGGCTGCTTGCTGACCCGTGCAACGTGCACTGGCTCTACGCTTCGAAATTTCAGGGATTCGATTCGTTATGGATGATGACATATACAATCATTCTGATTTACGCATTTCCGTGCATGCTAACCTGATCGCGTGCTTCCCTCGCATGTGTTTCCCTCACGTGTGTTTCCGTGCGTGCAGCATTCGTCGCGGTGCTGGTGGCCGTTGTCTACGCAGACCACGACGACCCGGAATTAACCAGTCAGTGCCACTTTATCAGTGTATTTGCGCAGTGCTTCGCGCTTCCCCATTCCCACCATCGCCCTTCTCGTCCCTTCACAATTTCCTTTCACCTTTCGTCCTGGTTTTGAATTCCCAAAATTCAATCTTTAACTCAACCTCCTGCTCGTTCTCACCCCAACAGACACCTTCACGGCGAAGCTGATTGGCGCCAACGAGGTTCCCAAGAATGACTCCGAAGCTGCCAGGAAGGCCGTAGGTGACAAAAGCGGCGTGGTGCAAATGAAGCTCGACTTCTACAAGTAAGCTCGCCACGCCACGCCTTGCATTGCATCTGTGATGCGACACGTGAGCCCATTTCTCCAAGAGCACATTTTCTTTCCAATTTCAAAGCCGAGAACACATGGGCTCCAATCCCTGCCGCTCTCTCCTGCGATATATAGCAGCGGTTTCTAACTCCCTTTTTCACTCCCTTGACACACCTGGTGCCATGTGTGATCAGGAAGGAGGGCAACCTGATGTGGGTGGAGTACTCAGTGAAGGCGTCGAAGTTGGAGGGCGAGATGCCGCCCACCAAGACGCACATCCACCCGGGGAAGAAGGGCGAGAACAACCCCGTGCTGCTGGACCTGCCCTGCAAGTACAAGCAGACCAGCGCCTCCGAGTGGCTCTGTGAGGGCGCCATGTGGGAGGACAAGTGGCTCTCGAAATCGGAGGTGGCGATTTTCACCAAGATCGGAAAGCACCCCACAGCGTTCTACGGGAATATCCACACCAAGAAGTACCCCGATGGCGCCGTGCGTGGCCAGTTCTCCAGGAAGTAACGGGTCAGTTGGTCGGATCAACTTGATCCCCACCCTTGGTCAGAGCTGGAGATTAGAGAATGAGGACAATGTACAAGTGAAGAGCCGTAAATAAAGATTCTGGGGGTGCACTATGGGAGGGAGTGAAGGTGCTCCCTTTCCTTAGGCAGTGCTTTTGGTCACCCCAGTTATCAGAATAAGCTAAGCCCTTGTCCATTGCTTGCTTGGTTCTACACTGCACTGCACTTGCTATGTTATGGAAATCTGAATTCCATATGTCCATACACACTCTACCTCATACGGGTAGTATTACTTTCTACTTCGTCTATTAATTTGCTACTCAAGCAAGAGAATCTATATACGATATACAAAACTTCACATCACATTCATCCAATCGTAATGCTGGTTATAAAACAGAATGCTGGAAGTAGTACGGTATAATTTATATACAATCCGTAGAAAATATATGAAGGCAAAGATTCAATGTATGTAGCAGTATGACACCATTCCCGAGTCGCCAGCACTGGGAATGTGACACATTCAAAATGTCCTTCAACTGAATTCAAAGCTTCTGGAGTCGCGTTTTCCCTGGACAACTAATCGTGCGGCTTTCGCGTAAAGCTTGCGTCGTCGTGAATCATCAAGCTTCGCCGCATGGTCAGCGGGAAGCCTTTTCGTGAAGGTGGTTGTGTGCAGAGTGGACAAGCTGATAGGAAAGGTGAGCCGCGTCTCACGACGAAGGGCGACTCATTGACGACATTCATTGGACCAGCCCAACCTCAGCGAAACACCGAGCACGGCCAAATGTCATATGCCCTCAGTCGCATGGACCCCGTAGCCGACTTTCGTCGTCGTCCTGCGACGATTGCAGTCACGGATGTGGGTTTCGAGGGCGCGCATCGGAGCATTCGAGGTTGCGGATAGCGTTGCGGAAAATCGAGCGTCAAGCCGGCCCCACACGAGCTACCGTCTTAGGTTTCTACAATATCGCAGTTTTCACTTACCAACACATATCAAACCTGTCATCCTGTCACGGTGTACTAAGCTTAGCAGCGTGATGTTCGAAGAACACATCGGTAATAACCTCGAATCGAGCGGCAGATTCTCCGTCGTTGCTCGTCATTGCTGAGACTGTCACTAACCTTATGCCGCGGGTCGCCATGCATATACTTAATTTGGCCACTGTGACTGATACCAAGTGCTGATGGCGCCAAACCACTCTCGACTCCGCATCTCTTCATGGCTTTACCAGCTCACGTACTGCCGCTTCTCGCATGCGCGTTGCTCGCCACTTCAGCAGCAGCCATAGAATTCAGTTCCTCTCTATTCTCTGAATCAGCCAGACCAAATAAAGCGGATAACGGAGCGCCGAATTCTAAAAATCAGGATCACCGAAACCGGTTGTACATACCTGAACATCTTTCCGGGCCTCCCGGAAGCAAGCATCTCCAGCCCTTAGCTTTTCCTTTGACGCACAAATTCAAATTCGGAGCACATCATGGAAAGGCGCGCAGCGGGCTCGTTACCGTGCGGTGGGAGGCGCACATGGCGGCCGTGCAGCGCGACTTGCGGCGCGTCCGACGCGGGAACAGGCGGCTGCAGAGCGGCGACGACGAGGAGGAGGTCGTGTTCGGACTCGTCGGCAACGCGGACCCGCAGATAGCAGGGTGAGCGTCCCATTCGATTCTTCTCTGGTTCGCATTTTGACTCCCCATCCCCCCCATTCTTTCCCCCCTCCTTTCCAGCCTCCGTTTCGCGTCCTTGGCATTGGGATTGCTGCCACAGCAGTTCAACGAGCAGAACGGCACGGGCAACGCTGCTCCATGTGCGATTCACAGGCGACTAAAAGGTTCACCCATCTCCCCTCCACCTCTACCCCTTCCGCCCCTTCGCTCTCTCCCCCCTCCCCCCCCCTCCCCCCTCTCCTCCCAGTCTGTACTTTGCGTCGGTGGCGTTGGGCTCCCCCCCGCAGTTGTTCAACGTGCAGGTGGACACGGGCAGCGACTTGCTCTGGGTTGCGTGCCAGCCGTGCCTCAAATGCGCCACGCGCTCGCAAGTCGCGGTGAGAGTCGCGCACGGGCTCGTTATAGTGATTGCCGTTAAAGAGCGCTCGGTGGTTGCGTTTGAAAAAAAAAAAAAAATCCGATTTACCACCACTGTCAATCCGTTCCCTGTCTCCGTCTCATTACTCGACGCCTTGCCATTCCCCCTCATCCCATTTCGAGCCGAATCACGACAGCGTGCGCCTTGATCGTGCTTCTTGAAAGTAAATGCTGAACAGCACGCCATTGAGAAGCCACTACACGCCAATACCCGATAATCGAAACACTTGTAAAAATTATAATCCACACGTGCACGCGCGTTTCCTCGCAATTTCCCTCTCCCCATATTTTCCCTCTCATTCCCCTTCAACCGTACCAATCCCTCCCTCCCCCCTTCCTCTCCTCCCTCCTCACTCTCTACTTCCACATCTCCGCCTCGCTGCCCTTCCCCAGCCGTTGAGCCCGCCGTTCAACGCGTCGCAATCCTCCTCCAATCACCTCCTCCCGTGCGCGACGCGACAGTGTCCGCGCTACCACCTCTCCGACAACGTCCTGCGCGGCTGCCCGTCGCCGGCTGTCGCGACGGCGGCCGCCGTGCCGGCCTCCACGTGTCTGTACATGCTGCGCTACGCGGACGGCAGTGCGTCGGTCGGCGTGCTCATGCGCGACGTGCTGCACCTGCCGTGGACACCCAGCGAGCAACCCGTGGGACCCGGGGGGGGTGGGACAGGAGAAAGTGGGCCCGAGGGGAATGGGAGAAGCGGGGACTTACCGTCGACCGCCAGCGAGCCCTTGGGAGGGGGAGGGGGGGGAGTGGCTGGGGTGGCGAGGACGAGTGGTAACCAGGTGCCTGGCGAGAGTAACGAGAGTAGCGAGAGTAGTAACCTCAACATTGTGGAGCCGCGGAGAATTGGGCAGGAAGTGGCGGCTCAACGCGCGGCCCCAGCGAGCGGTGGCGGCGGGGCTGTTGATAACGCGGATGAAGGACAGAGAAGCAGCACGGCTGCTTATAGCGGGGATGAAACTCAGGGAAGCAGCGCGAACGCGTCCGCGAACGGCACCAAGTACCGGCCGGTCGTGACGTTCGGGTGCGGGTTCAACCAGTCCGGCAATCTTTTAGACGGCCCGCTGACGGTCGACGGCGTGATGGGGCTGGGCCGTGGCGCGTCGTCGCTGCTGGCGCAGCTCGGCGCGCAGCACGCGCTGCCGCACGCGTTCGCGCACTGCCTGGGCGGGCCGGAGGGCGGCGGCGCGCTTTTTCTCGGGCGCGTGTCGTCCGCGGGCGCGCTGAGCGGCGTGCGGGGCGTGTGGCAGCAAACGGCGCTGTGGGACAAACCCGACAGGTATGCCCCTCGTTCTGAAGGCCGTGCGGTTCGTGCGGGTGGGGGGCGTGGTGGGGGGTGGGGGGTGTGCGGGGCGTGCAGCAGACGGAGCTGTGGGACAAACCCGACGGGTGGCCGCCTGGTCTCGGCTTCTCACTCTCACCCACTCACACTCTCACCCACTCTCACTCTCCCACTCACACTCTCACCCATTCTCACTCTCTCCCGCTCTCTGCCTGCTACTCGTGTCCTCCCCTTCTTTCTCTCTCCCCTCGCTCTCATCGCATCCACCATGCCGCCCTACTCCAGCCCTGCCACTCGTGCATTCCCCCTTGTGAGCGATCTCTGAGAATAAAAACACAATCACTCTGTTCCTGCTCTACCCTCGCCCCCCCACCTACCCTTCCCTCCGCACCGCAGCACGAAGTTCAGAATTCGACTTGGCTGGCATCGCCATCGCTGGTGGCCCCATCGCCTGGCAACCCGTCCCGCTCGACCCCTGCGAACCGTACACGATCCCTCCATCTCCACCGGTCGCGCATCACCCTCTCGCCCTTCCCCTCCGTTTTTCCCTCCCTCCTTCCCCCCCCTCCCCCTCCCCCTCCCCCTCCCCCCCCCCTCCCCCTCCCCCTCCACTTCCCCCTCCCCCTCCACTTCCCCCTCCCCCTCCCCCTCCCCCTCCCGGTCACGGCAGCACGCAGTGCATGATCGCCCTGGCAGGCATAGCCATCGCTGGTGTGCCCATCTCCCGCCCTCTGTCTGCTACTCCTTTCCCCCCCTTCTCTCTTTCTCCCGCCACATCGCATCATCCATGCCACCCTACTCCATCCCTGGCCCTTGGTGGAATCTAAAAGAGTGTGTGCATGCCCCTTTTGAGCGATTTCTGAGAATCTAATGAATTCACCCAACCTGCATCACCTCCCTCCCTCTTCCCCGCCCTCCTCCCCTCCCCTCCTCCACTCCCCCTCCCATTGCAGCACGGGTATGCAATCGGCCATCGTATCTTATCACCCGAGCCGGTTATGTGGCTGATGCATCCATGTACGTAATCGGACATCTCCTGGCAACTGTCCCCTCCCTTTCCCTCCACTCCCCTCCTCCCCTCCCCTCCTCCACTCCCCCCTACCATTGCAGCACGCACGCGTACGCAATCGGCCGGGCAATTCATCGTCATCCCCTGGCAGCTGTCTCCTCCATCCCCTCGGCACCCGTATCACCCTCTCTCCCTTCCTCTCCCCTTTCCCCTCCGCTCTCTCCCCCGTCTCGCATTGCAGCACACAATACATGATCGGCCTGGCAGGCATCGCCGTCGCTGGTGTGCCCATTGCGTGGCAACCCACAGTCGTCGCTGCCATCCCTTCTTCTGCCGCTGCTGCTGCTGCTGCCGCCCAAACCACCTCCTCGCTTGCTGCGCCAGCAGGCAATGCCACAGGCTCGGCAGCGGCAGGGATGGTGCCGTGCGTGTTGGACAGCGGCACATCGCTCACATACCTGCCGGACGCGCTCTACCAAACACTTACTGCTGCCGTGAGTGCCGTCCCCCCTCCATCCAGTGCCGTCCCCCCTCCATCCAGTGCCCCCCCCCCCCTCCATCCAGTGCCCCCCCCCCCCCCCCCCCCCTCCATCCAGCCCCCCCCCCCCCTCCATCCAGTGCCCCCCCCCCTCCATCCAGTACCAGTAGAGAGATGGACGCGCGCCGTGCGTCCTTGCTCTGCGACTTGCAGGTTGACTCGGAATCGTTTGAGAATCCTCAGAATGAACAACTGTGCATCACTGCACCATGGCTGCTCCCTCTGTGGGCACTGCTTGCCTGCTCACTCATCGCCTCGACGCTCTTCCTTCCCCCTACCCCCGATGCCTTCTCCCCTTCCTCCTTCCCCCTTGCCTTTTTCCTCGCCCCCTTACCTTGCCCCTTTCCCCGCCCCCTTACCTTGCCTTTTTCCCCGCCCCCTTACCTTGCCTTTTTCCCTGCCCCCTTACCTTGCCTCTTTCCCCGCCCCCTTACCTTGCCTCTTTCCACGCCCCCTTACCTTGCCTCTTTCCCCGCCCCCTTCCCCCCCTGCCCCCCCCCCCCCCCCCCCCCCCCCCCCCCCCCCCCCGACCCTTTACCGTTCCGCCAGTTGGTGCAAGCCATGGTCGTGCCGCTACTAGCCTTCGCCTTCTGAAGCGTTTTGAAGACCAACCCGCTTCCCTCTAACCCCTTCCCTTCCCACCCTCTTGCCCCGTTCCGCCCGTCCCCCCGCCAGCTGGTGCAAGCCATCGACTTGCCGCTGCTCGCCTTCGCGCAGACAGAGGGCCACTTCTGCTACAACCTGGGCGACGGCCGGTGCGCTACAGCCCTCTCTGCCACACTCCTTCCCAGCCCTTTTCGCTCTCTCCTCCTTTTTCTGCTCCCTTCCCTCCCACCGATCATTGTTTACCCCGCCAATCCCCCCCAATCCTTCCCTCCATGTCTCCCAACGTTACCATCGTCCCTCGCCCTCACCACACGCACTCTCCCTCGTGTTGCGCCTCTCTATCCGCAGGCTCCCCTGGCCCCGCGCGCGCTACCTGTTCCCGGACCTGACTCTGACGTTCGGCACCGGGGCTCGCATGGTGCTGCCGCCCGAAAACTACATCCTGCTGCTCGCCACCACTGCTGTACGCTCGGGACTGGGTGGAGTGCGGTGGGGTGCGGTGGGATGGGATGCCATCCATGCCATGTGTTGCCATGCCCGCTCATCTCCCCCATCCGCTCCCACATGGCCCAGGCATGCACGAAGCACTCCTCCCACCACCCACCCTCTTCCACTCCTTCACCCTTCGCTCCCTCTCATCCCCTCCCACAACCCCCCTCTTTTTCCCCCTGTTGTGCAACACCTTGAAATACACCCGACGACCCCTCTTTCCCCCCCCGCCCTCTCTTCCCAATACCCCTCCGCCCGCCCATTCTCCCCCGCATCACCCGTCTTATCCCGCGCCCCCCCTTTCCCCCTCCAGGGCTTCGAGGCGCGCTGCACTGCGTGGTTTTGAGACGTCTCAGAGCGCCGGCCCCGACTCCTCCCTCGCCCCTCCGCCCGCTCATTCCCTTCCTGTCAACCCTCACCCCTTTTCTCCTCCCCCTCCAGGGCTTCGAGGTGCCATGCATTGCGTGGCAGAGCGCCGGCCCCGACTCCTCCCTCGCTGTGCTGGGCGGTGAGTGGACGTCGGTGAGGGAGGCGGGTGCAATGGAAGCGGGGAGGGGAGACAGGAGAGGGGAGGGGGTGGGAGGAGGGGTCGGGTGGGAAGGGAGGAGAAATTATGGGGAGCGGGGAGGAGGGAGGCGAGGATGGAGACATCAGAGGCGAGCGTGGGTGGAGAGGGATGGGATGGATGGGAGGTGATGTTAGGGGCTGGGGATGACAGGAGAGGTGGGAGATGAGGGGAGGGGAGCAAAAGATTAAGTGGAGAGAATGGATGGAATTCTTCCATACTATATGGCCACATCTGTCCCGTTTCTGTTTTGTAATTCTGTTTCTGTTGTATACTTCTACTGTACTGCACTAGTCCGTACGAATTCCTCTGGCAAAGGCTTGGCGAATGAGATCCTGGGTGACACGTTTCTGTTCACCTGGTCCCTCCCCATCTCACCAGTGTCTCAAAGTTCACCCCAAACTCTCACCAACTTCACCCTATTTTTATTTCTTCCCGCTCTGCTTCCCCCACCCCCTGTAGACCTAGCGCTGCGCAATCTGCTGGTGGAGTTTGACGTGGAGGCCAACACCGTTCGCTGGCTGCCCTCCCAGTGTGAGCTCTCCGCTCCCCTCCCACTGTGGCCTCACCCCGAGTAACCCGTCAATTGAGCCTGACACGTTGATTTAAAACGCGACAGCTTTTTCCAGCTCTCTGACATGCCTCGCATAGTGGGGGTACACCCTTTTGAAGGTTTGGGCTGTGGGTTTATGTTTCGGTTCTCCCTGCCCCACCATGCCATCATACCCCTGTGCACCGCACTCTACAGCATCCCAACCGCAATGTTCAAGGCACCACATCACCTGGCATTCATTGGACCCCACCTTGGCCCTGTGCAGCACCACCCAGCTTGCGCTGCTTGCACCTTCTCCCACATCTTCTTGAGACTATCAGCTTGTGCAAGTCCCACTACTATGCCCCACTCCTTTCCCCTACATGGCCCCACCTATCTCATGTATGTACACTTACCTCCCTACCACCTATCCCCCTCCCCGATCACCTGCCGTGCTGCAGGCTCCCAGATCCTGCACGCTGCACAGACCACAGACCCCATTGATGCTGCTGCTGCCGCAGCAGACACAGCAGCAGCAGCTGCAGAAGCCTTCCCGGAGAGCTCTGATTGGCTCGCCTCTCTCATCCCGGGCCTGGCTGGAAGCGCCAACAGAGTCAACCCGAACCAAGGAGGCCTGTTACCGGACCTGAATGTCCCAGGCGCCAATCTTCCCTCACAAAACGCAGCACTAAGTGGGGGATCGAATGGCGTAAACCCCTCTTTGAATCCTGCCGCAAACGGTTTGTCTGGTAATGATCCAAATGGCAATGGCGGCCTGTTGAACTTGATGGATGGTGGGTCCGGTGCGGGTGGCAGGGCGCCGCTTGTGCTTCCATACAGTGCTGCCTCGTCATCTATGGGTCGTATAGGGGTTGTAGCTGTGTTGGTGCGTCTGCTGCTGGCAGTCGCTTGTGCTATATTGCTCGCCCCTTGACGACCTTTCAATAAGGTGTTGCCTAATGCCATGGCAGTGCATTTTGCTGTGAATAAGTGCAAAGTCTTCGTTCGATTTTCAAGCATCCCAAAATAGAAGAGCTGAGGTGATTGGAATGGCCATAGCCATGTGACCCAACAAAACACACCTAAAGTGGGTAAGGATTAGATCAGCTTGTAACAAGTTTTAGGCTGACAATTCGAACTGGCCGGTTCTTATAAAACTCGTTACAGCCCACTACAGTTCGCGAAGCCCATCAATTCGCACAGATCCGACGGTCCCCTTCATTCGTATGACAGTGCAGCCGAAAAGCGGAGGCCATCCGTTGACACACTTCTGACACATCTTGGAGATTCATAGGGGCCGAGGAGGAATCGATGGATGGCCGTGGGGGACCACCTTGAGATTTCCACTACCATGGGAATTTCCGCAGCAGAAGTCAGAATCTGCGGAGCGCACGGCACGGCGGTCTTTCGGAGCACTGGGAGCTCTCTGCCGCTCATAACCGTCCGTGGGGCCTTGCGGCGTGAACTCGTTGCTCGCTCCCTGCATCTAAATACAGCGGACCAAACAAGTAGAGACATGCTGCAGGAAGTCTATGTACCACCAGTTCAATCAGGTCTCGGATAACTCTCTACGCTCATACAGAGTCATTCAGGCCAGAGACATGCGTACTTTTGGGTCGACCAACTCGCGACCGTGACAGCGGGAAACCCTCGCATTGTCAGTAACGAAGTCCTTATGATACGTATCTTTCAATAGAAACGTCCCGCGCGTGCCAGCACATGGCGGTGAGGTTCCGACCTCGTCTGTGGCGCAGACGCGGTAGCGGCGAAAGAGCATCCGGAGACTCGTCCACGGATGCTCTCGCGCCGGCGGAAGCCAGACTAATAGGCGGCGAAGCAGACACGAAGCTTCGCGACGAGAAGTCTGCGGCGAGGGCGCGGTCGCTGCGCCTGTGGGGGCTGGTGCTGCTCGCGGGAGTCACCATCGGCGCGCTCTCATGGCTTCTCGCTACCGTCATTGTCGAATTCTTCGAAGTCCTCTACGCTCTCAACGACACGCTCTTAGGCGCGCACGCCACGGCGCGCGTTCCCTTCTCCCGCGTGTTCGTCGCGTCGCTCCTCATGGCCCTCGTCCAAGCCGCGCTCGTCGGCCTGGCGGCCGTTCTAACGGTCAACGTCGCGCCGCTCGCGAACGGCTCGGGCGTCCCCGAGATAAAGGGATTCCTTAACGGAAACAGCATACCAGGGTTCTTTGAGCTGCGCACAACAGTCGTCAAGTTTCTCGGGCTGCTGCTCGTCGTCGCGGCGGGCATGCCCGTCGGCCGCGAGGGGCCCATGGCGCACATCGGCGCGGGGATCGCCGTTGCGCTCGTGCACCTCCCGCTCATCGGCCTGCACGCGCACGCGAGCGCGCGCGGAAAGAAGCGTGTGGATAGCAAGCCGCGGAGAGAAACAGGCCGCGCGCGCGGGGGAAAGTCCAGCGCGAGCAGCGGCAGCGGGGGGCATCACGGCGGCGCGGCGGTGGCGTGGATGGACCGCGACGAGCAGCGCGCGTTCGTGACGTACGGCGGCGCAGCGGGCGTGGCAGCGGCGTTCAAAGCACCAATCGGCGGAGTGCTGTTCATGTTCGAAGAGGTCTCCTCTTTCTGGTCCACCGAAGCCACCTTCAAATCGTTCGTCTCCGCCACTATAAGCACACTCGTTATAGTCCTCCTCGTCGAGGCCATGGCCGGTATAGTCACATACGAAGCCTTCCTTTTATTCGTCCTAAACCCAGTTACCATATCCTGGACGGCCAAGGACGTAGGACCATTCCTCGTGCTAGGCGTTGTAGGAGGGCTGCTCAGTCGCCTTTACACTGTACTGTCGCTCAAGGTGCTGAGAGCGAGACGGACGGAGACGTGGAGGCGGCGCAAAGCTGTGAAGATTATAGATGCGGCTGTGAGTGCGCTGGTGGTGTCACTGCTGTTCCACCTCCTCCCAGCCATGTCGCCCTGCATCTCCCTCCCTCCTCCCACTGCCTCCGCTCCTGCTGCCCCCCCTGCGTCTCACTCCAGTGCCACGTCCACTGCACACGTGTCACTTTCTCCAACGTGGCATGCTGCTGAGTTAGCAAGCACATCTGCCGCACCGGTGAAACCGAGAGCATCGGCATCACTAGGAGTGTTGGTCCCTCGGGTCAAAGCAGCAAGCGCATCAGCAGCAGCGGCAGGCAGCACAGTTGAAGCAACAGCGCCACCAGCAGCACCCGAAGCACCAGCAGCACCAGCAGCACCAGCAGAAACAGTAGCACCAGAGACACCAGCAGAAACAACAGCACCAGAGACACCACCAACAGCAGCAGCAAGTGGCAGCACGGAGGCAGGGGGACACAGTGGAGCAACGGAGGGGCACGGAGAGGGAGCAGGGGAGGGGCATGTGGTGTTGGTGCAGTACGACTGCCCTGCCGGGCACTACAACGAGCTCGCCACACTGCTGCTGCGCGGGGAGGAGGGCGCCGTCAAGCACCTCATGGGCGACACTGCCAGCACCACCGCCACCGGGGAGGCCATCACCGCACGGGTCTTCCCAGCAGGCGTGGTGGGCGTGTTCCTCATCGCCTACTCGCTGCTAGCGGCGTCCATATCAGGCCTGGCGGTGCCCAGCGGGCAGTTCATCCCCCAGCTGCTCTACGGGGCGGCACTGGGGCGGCTGTACGGCATGGCGCTGCATGCTGCGCTGCCGGAGCAGTTTGCGCAGCCCAGCATCTATGCGCACGTGGGGTCTGCTGCGTGCCTGGCGGGGTACACCCACCTCACCATCTCGCTTGCTGTGAGTGCTGCGGGCGGTAGTGCACTGGTGTGAGTGCCAGAGATGCTCTGATGGTGCGGTAGTGCACTGGCTGTGAATGCTGTGCGGTGCTGTGCCAGGAGTGATCGGCTCCGAGTGCAATGCGGCTATCTTTCTGCATCATGCACCAATGCCGGTGACACTTCTTACTCGAGGGCGTGTGTGCGTGCGTGCGTGTGTGTGTGTGCGTGCGTGTGCATACGTGCCTGCATGTGTGTGAGCAGGTGATGCTAATGGAGGCATCAGGAGACATCAGCCTTCTGCTTCCCATCCTCTGTGGGTATGTGCACCCATCTCTAGACACGCACCGCTATGTACCGTGTAGCACCTTGTATGACACATTCACAATGTATGACACATTCACAATGTATGACACATTCACAATGTATGACACATTCACAATGGACACATATACAATGCAAGACGCATTCACAACGCATGACACATTCACATTGTCTTTCCAAGCAGCCACCGCATTCCGAGGTCATGTTATTGCCTTGAAGTAGTCTCCCTCCTGATCCCGATCCACATTGTCGTTTCCACATCCTTACTATCAAAAATTTTATTTCCCGGATTTTCATTCTCCACATCGTCCCTCACACCATCCCAGCATAGGGGTGGCCAAGGCAGTGGCGCAGCTGTTAGGCCGCAGCTACGACGAGGTGCTGCTGTCAATCAAGAAGATTCCTTTCCTTCAAGACAAGCCCCACGCGCGCCACCAGGGCTTGCTGGCGCGGCACCTCATGGACCGCCACGTGGCACAGCTGCGGGAGATGGAGACGCCGTCGCTTGTGCGGGCGGCATTGATCGGCTGCTTGTCGCCGGCGCTGATGGTGGTGGATGTGGAGGGCGGGCTGAAAGGGGTGGTCAGTCGGACCAGGCTGCTTGCTCTGCTCGCTGCTCATAACCACACCTGTGATGCTGCTGCCGCCGCTGCCGCCGCTGCCGCTGCCGCCACCGCTGCTGGTGCGGCTGCTTCTGGTGCTGGTGGTGGTGGTGGTGCTGGGGTTGGTGATAGTCGTGGTTCGTTGTGTGCGGCTGTCGCTGCCGTAGGCCCTGCTGGTGCTGCAGGTGGTGGGGGGGGCAGACTGGCACGACTGGGATGGATGGTAGGGTTGCGGCTGAGTGCTGTGATGAAGCAGGCTCCGTGGACTAAGGGAGCGAGAGTGGGGATGGAGGAAGGGGGTGATGCGAGGATGGAGGAGGGGAGGAGGGCGGGCGGAGAGGAGGAGGCGAAGGGCAAAGGGAAGGAAGAGGGGGGAGAGGAAGAAGAGGAGAGGGAAGAGGAGGAGGAAGAGGAGGAAGGTGAGGAGCACGAGTGGGAGACAGAGGCGCAGCGGCGCGTGAGGAGAGAGAGACGAAGAGGCCACCGGTACACAGAGGAACTTGCTCAGAAGCTTCTGACGTGCCACAACGACAGTGAGACGGGCGAGGAGAGGCGGATGAGGGAGATGGTGCGGAGGGAGGGCGAGGAGCGGCTGTTGGACCGCACTCTGCTGGCCATGGAGACCAATGCCAGGCTGGCGGACCAGCAGTGGGCGGCAGAAGACGCGCTCTGGGCAGCTGCGCCGTCTTTGCACAGCGCTCCTGCTGTCACTGCCACTGCTGGGGCTGCTGGTGGCAGTGCTGCTGCTTTCTCGGCTGCTGAGTCTGTGCAACGAGGCGGCGTGGGTGGTCAGGTGGAGCATGCGTTTAGTACTGATGTGTATCGTGGGCGTGGGCATGGGTATGGGTATGGGCATGACTATGGTCATGAGTTCGGGCATGGGCATGGGCATGGGCATGGGCATGGGCATGGGCATGGGCATGGGCATGGGCATGGGCATGGGTATGGGCAGATTGCAGGAGCCCCCGCAGGCAGTGCTGATGGCAGGAGGTGGCAGCTGGGCAGTGCTGGCAGCCACAGCCCTCTTCCCCCTCGCCCGCCTGTTTTCGTTGCCTCCCCTCCCGCGCCTGCGCCTGCTGCTGCTGTTGCCGTTGCTGCACCATATGCTCCAGCGCCTGTGCCGGCTGCTGCTGCTGCTGATACCGCGGCTGATGCTTGTGCCACATCGACGCAGAACGAGCTTGAGGAGGGATGGAGGAAAAGTTTTGAAGTTGGAGGAGGGGGAAAAGAGACACAGGACGCCAGGGAGAGGGTAGATGGGGAGGAGAGGGAGTTGGGGGGCGCGGAGAGCAGCATTAGGGCAGAAAGGCCGGTGGTGGGAGGGGAGGAGGCGGAGAGCAGCAGGGGGGCGGTGGGAGCGGTGGTGGGAGGGGGCGAGGCGGAGGTGCTATTAGATGTGACGGCCATCATGGACCCCTTCCCCTTCCACGTGCCCCTCTGCATGCCCATCCTCCGCGTCTTCCCCCTCATGCGCAAGGTGAGGCTCATGGGCCTCGAGTTAAGTTGCACGTGCCATCAGGTGACCCACTTGCGAGTGATCTGCTGTGCCGTTTGAGTTCAGCTCTGCCAGGCCCCTGATTGCTCCCTCTTCAAACTCATGCAAGGCTGTATGATTTCCCTGGCAGGCGCCGCATTGCACCTTCCCTTCCTCATCCGCCCCCTTCCTCTCTATCCACCCCTACCCGCAGCTCAACCTGACGTACGTGTGTGTGGTGGACAGCACAGGCCAGCCGGTGAGACTCCATTCACCTGCAGTGCCATACACCATGCCATGCCATCTGTCACCAGCCATGCCATGCCATGCCATCTGTCACCAGCCATGCCATGCCATGCCATCTGTCACCAGCCATGCCATGCCATGCCATCTGTCACCAGCCATGCCATGCCATCTACCACCAGCCATTCATCGCAATTTTATTCATCATGCAAAACAGCCTCCACTCCCCTTCCTGCATCAGTGAACGGCAGCGTCACCACAGTAATCCTTTGCATCCCATCGCATCCCATCCCATCCCATCCCATCGCATCCCATCCCATCCCATCCCATCCCATCCCATCCCATCCCATCCCATCCCATCCCATCCCATCCCATCCCATCCCATGCCATCCCATGCCATTCCATGCCATGCCACCCTATGCCATGCCAGACCCTCTGTGGTGTGGTTTTGCAGTACCTGCACGCTTATACACACACGCACTCCCACCTCTCCCCCCATTTCCCTCCCCTCTCCTCCCTTGCCCCCATCTCATCTCATGCAGGCGGGGCTAATAACCTGAGCGCACCTGATAGACGCCAAGCCAGTGCACGCCAGCGTCACCAAAATTGCACTTCCCCATGCTCTCATGCCATGCTGTCCCGTGCCATCATGTGCAAACCCTCACACCCCGATTTCCCCCCCTCCACCCCGTTCTCCCCTCTACCCCTCCATTGCAGGCGGGGCTAATAACCCGAGCCCACCTGATAGACGCCAAGCCAGTGCACGCCAGCGTCACCACGTGGGGTCACTTCGGCCTGCCCTCCTTCCGCCTCTCCCGCCGCTTCTCCTCCTCCCGCCCCTCTGTCGCCTCCCTCACCCCAGAAGCCACCCAAGCCGCCCGCGACCGTGCCGCCCGCATCCTTGCAGCTCTAGACCCAGATGCTCTGGCAATGGGGGATACGGTGCAGCAGCAGGCAGAGGCGACTGAGAGGGTGAATCTGGCGTCCATGCTGGCTGCTATGGACTCTGTACGGCACTTGTACCTGCAACCAGGCTCCGAGCTTGATTCTGGGAGGATGGCAGGACATGGGGAGGGGATGAATGGGCAGGAGGGGAGTGGTGTGGAGGGGGGAGTGGACGGGGAGGAGGGAGGGAAGGGGAGGGAGCGAGGGGAGAGGGAGCGGGGGGAGAGGCGAGGGGCGAGGGAGGGGCAGCGGAGGTGGGCAGGGAGGGTGTCTCCGAGGGAGAGGTGGAGGAAGGCGGTGAGGCTGGTGCTGGAGAGCCTGCGAGCCCAGGCTGCAGCGGCTGCCCTGGCTGCTGCCGCCCGCTCCAATCGTCTCGCTCTGCTGCCCGCTGCTGCTGGTGCTGGTGCTGTTGCTGTTTCGGGCAGTCGGAGGGATGGTGGTGGTGCTGCAGGAGCGAGGGAAGCAGGCGGGTCAGAGCGCAAGGGAGGGAAGGACGTGGAAGGAATGGGGAAGCAGGAGAAAGCAGGTGAAGAGAGAAGAGGGCCGCCGGCAAAGCATGTGCATTGGGGGGAGGAGGGGATGGGAGGGAGGGTGGGCCCGAGCATAGGTGATGATGGTGGGATGGGTGGGGATGAAGGTGCGGAAGGGGACGTGCTGGTGGTGAGGGAGGATGCAGGCGAGGGAGAGGAGGAGCGGGAGTGAGGGCAGGGTGGGAAGCAGATGGTGGAGAGCAGAGGCGTTTCTAAGTGGAGATTTGCATAGGATGAATGACATGACAGTCTGAGGCAGCAACGGCCGCAGCTCACATGCAAAATTCCGACAGTGATACCACCAGAGCCCCGTCCCGGCATTCGAGTGGACTCAGAGACCAGAGCCGTCTTCTTACCATATTCTTTTATTCGAAGCAAGCGCATGCAGCGTGATACTCTGTGAGCAGGTAATATGCAGTAGCATGATGGGGTACTTGATAAAGAGTCTGAGGCAATGTTGAAAGTCCTTGCACTGGCACAGAGTGGATTCCAGTTTCCATAAGCATTGCAGAGCGAAATCTTTACAAGAGCAGTGTAGAACAGGGCCCAAAATATCAGGGTAAAACGCCCTGATTACCCTGGGGGTTGGCCGTTTTTTCGGGATTACCCTGCCAAAATCAGGAATGCGAATTAGTTGCCCTTCTCTTAAAAGAACATGTTTTTTTTTACCCTGACTGGTTTTAAGGTTAGGCTGACGGAATCAGGGCGTGGTGTACACTACCCTTTTACCGAAACTTTTCTAACGCGAATCAGACCACAGTCCGCTTTGTGACAAAATGTACCACACCCCCACAAACACCGGTTGTCGCTTGTGCCCACGCGCAAAACAATGCCTCGCTGTCGGCAACGCGCCATGTTGCTTCTTTTGTTGTTTCTCCTGCAGGGCTGCCAACTCATTCTCGAATCTTGCCACCCGTCGCCACCAGGGCTTCAGATTCGTTTTGGGCCACCCTTAGTAATCACGGTTCTAGGTATAGTCAACCCTGATGCGTAGGGTAAAATTTTTGTTTCCCTGACAAATGCAGGGTAAAAAAACAGTTAGACTGCTTGGGCAGGGTATTCTTGAAAACATGTTTTTCTAAACAATGCTAAAGATTAAAATTCAGTAGTTGATAGTTCAGCTGGTTTGATTGCGCATTAGATATGGAAGGTCACAGGTTCGGGCCTCGCTTATGAGATCATTTTGCAGGGAACTGTACCGTATAGTGTTTCATCTCGCTACGGAGCACTCGGTACCAGTATAGCTGGGATTGTACACTGTACAGTCAGAGTAATGTGTTCCTTATTCTGTTTTTCAAAGGGTATTGAAAAACTTACACTTTCTGGCCTAGGGTAAAAAATCCACTACCCTGCCTGTGAAAGGGTAACTGAAAAAAGCGGCCGCCAGTCAGTGCAAAAAGGGTATTTTACCCTGATAACGAGAGGCCTGGTCGCCACGCCCACCGCCAACACAGCAGAATTTGCTGTCAAGGACAGCTTCAAGCTGTCCTTGACAACAGAATGCAGCAGCAGTCCTGCCGTGCTGACCATACACTTCCCGCCTCGTGGAAGAAACGGCCCTTGAGAGGCAGCCAGGGGGTCGTTCTCTTCGAGGGGGCCTCTCGCTTGGCCCTCATTCTCAACCATGCTCCAACTTTCACCTCAACAATGCCCACTGGAGAGCCCGATCCACCTGATGGCGCGAGAAACGGCCTCTCTGTGCTGGGCGTTTTACCACGCCTTAGCGAGAACTACGCCGTGCCCATCGCTCAGCCGCCGCCTCGTGAGCCGTCACCTGAATGTGTGGTAGGAACGGTTTATCCGTTCGAGCCGCCAGACTCACCCACGGCGTGGGAGCCACATCCTGACATAGACTTGGCTTCCGGAGGAGGCTAGGGCTCGTCAAAGCCGCCTACTGCTTCGCCTTCGACGGTCAGCACCGCGCCCGTCAAGCGACCGCGTGTGGGAGTTACGTACAAGCAGCAGACGCTGTGGGGCGCCCCTCCTCCGAAAAACGCTACTTCACACAAGCGCCCTGCTCCTTCGGCCGACCCGACGCCACCCACCACTCTGGCGGATGCTGAGTATGAGTCGGTGAAGAAGACGTTTGAGGGTCAGTGGGCAGGTAGCTTCAAGTGGTTACGTTTGCTCCGCATGTTTAACGGCCGTCCGTCTTTGAAGTGTACGATTTGTGTGAAGCATGGAGATCCACTGGCGCACACCGCGTACGGGGCAAAGGGCGAAGGCGCTCGGGACCTCCAGATCGGCAGCATCCGCGCTCACACCTCCTCCCATGCACACAAGGAGTCGTTGGAGAATCGGGAGAAGGCGGAAGCGGAGAAGGCGAAGCAGGCCTCAATCACACGATGGCAGGCTGCAGACGCTTCCACACGGCACATCATTCGGCTCCTCCACATCGCGCACTTTGTCTGTAAGGCCGATGCATCCATAGCGATGTTCGTCCCGCTGTGTTGGTTTCTGGCGAAGGAGGGGTTACCAGACCTGCCTCCCGCTGGCGGCTACGGCGCGTACTACACAGAGTAAGTGGCTGCTTGATTTGGTGTTTCTGCTGTGTTCTATATTATCCACTGTGGTATTTAACCACCCATGTTGTCCCCTGGCAGTTACGGTTTCAAAGAGAGCCTGCGCGCCCTCTCAACATACCTTCAAGAGACATAGCGCCAGCACCTGCTCGAATCCCCGTGGATAGGGATTCAACTCGACGAGAGCACGGACCGTGTGAATGGGAAACACCTCATTCTATTCGCCATGTTCTTCCAGCGCACCATTGTGGTTACAGAGTTCTTGACTCTGATCACTGTTGACCGTTGTGACGGTGCCTCACTCACATCCGCTGTTGTGCAGTCCCTGACAGGTATCGGGCTGGATCTCCAGAAGATATCCAGCGTCGCATCCGATGGTGCCAGCGTCATGGTCGGCAAGAACCGAGGAGTCGTGACACGTCTTTGCATGCGCATTCCGCATCTGGCTTCAACACACTGTATCGTGCATCGGTAAGCATCACCGTTGTGTGCTCCGTGCTGCTCGCTTACCAAGTGCTGACGCTGACTAACAATATGTCGTGTTTCCTCTATGTACGGGGAGGCACTCGCTGCCAGTGATGCTGCAGAAGAGGTACCTGACCTGCTAATGATCAACCACGTCGTGCGCGCCTTCGCTGACCACATCGGCCGCAGCAGCGTAGACTACACAAAGTTTCAAGAGATGCAGCGGATTTTCTGCAAGACGAATCTCGAGGCGCAGGGGATCAGCGACACACGATGGCTCGCCCGCGGTGAAGCGGTACAGCGCCTGCTAGACGTGCTCCCTGCGGCCATTGTGGTGATGAAGGATTACAACGCGGATCTCTACGAGGTGGTGACCTCGTTCAAGTTCCACTGGCTCATCCGCTTTCTTGCGGATGTGCTTTGGGAACTGAACAGCCTTAACCTGCGATTCCAGCAGCGCCAGGTAAGCGTCTTCGTTGCTGGCGTCTTTGTTGTCGCTTCCAAGCAGGTGTAATAACTAACTCGCAGCGATCCCCATGTGCAGGTGGACGTCACCCTTGTTGCGCACATCGTGCAGCAGACAAGGATGCGTTTGAAGACGCGGTATTCCCTCCGCGACCCTGCACACCATTTCGGCACCGGCGAGAAAATGCAGCTTCCCGAGTTCATTCAGAGGCACGGGGCAAAGGACAAGCGCGAGATGAAGGGGGAAGGCATAGACGGGGAAGGGAATCCCGTCACGTTTGAGTTCACGCTGCACGAGCGCCCGCTGCCTGGACATGAGACGGAAGGCGATGTCACGGCGTGCGTCGAGCTGTTGATCAAGTACGTGCGCGCCATTGACAAGGAGCTGGAGTGGCGGATGCGCGACTTGGAGCTCCTGGAAGGCTCGAAGCTGTTTCGCACAGCCTCGTACCTGTCCGACGACACGAAGCGACTGGAAACCTTCAAGAGGTGGCTCGGCCAACTGCACAAGTTATACCACCACAAGCTGCCTGGTAAGCCTTCTGTAGCGCTTGCACATGTTATGATGTTTGTTGTCACTTTCATGCCTGACATGAGGTTAACCATTGCACATCCTGCATACTGTGGCCTGTTGGAATAATGCCCCCCACCCCTACCCGTGTCTGCGAGCATCGGCTTAGCTTTCACCCGCACTCCGCCCCACCACAGGGTTCGAATATAAGAGAGCCCAGCAGGAGCTGTGGATGTTTACATCCACAATGTTCGCCCAGCACAACAACGAGGAATTCCATCAGGCGCTGACGAACATGCTGCGGGATGATGCATGGCATGTCTCCTTCCCCAACATCATGCGGATGTGGCAATCAGTGGCCGTGCTGGCATTGAGCACGGTTGAATGCGAGCGTGGCTTCTCGAAGCAGAATCTGATCAAGACGTGGGGCCGTGGCAGCCTTGGCGACACAAGCCTGGAGCATCTGATGCGTTGCTCCCTACTGCGGTACGATGTCGACTGGTTTGAGGTGGTCGCTATCTTTCGTGGAGAGAGGTTGAGGCGATCCACCAGGGTGTTCGACCCCACCAGAGCTTCATAGACTCAGTTTGTAGAAGATGTAGGCAGTGGGGGTGGCACTGAGTAGGTGTGTAGTTCATGTGTGACTATTGTAGAGTGAATGGACTTTGGGTGTATTACTTTATTTCTGATTTTATTAAAACCGTAGCTCACAAAACTGTAACCAAAACAGAATTGGCCCAAAAATACCCTGCTCAAATCAGCCTAGTGCCAGAGTTACCCTGCTGAAATCAGGCTACGGAAAATTCTACCCTAGGGGTCTGTTCTAGGAGGGGCTGGTACCCTGATTTGTAAGAGTAGGCCTAAACCAATTTTGGGCCCTGGTGTAGAACGAAAAAGAAGCATAAGAGCTTGCTGTTTATTCTGACCATTGGAGTCACCAAAAGCACTGCCTAGCCGAGCAAGCACTTCCTTCATTTTCAATCCTTCCTTCCAAAGTGGCCCCAAGGACCTTATTCACTGCTCTTTGCGCCTTCCCTTGCTCTTTATTACTCCTCAAACGCTGACCCTGGAATTCTCTAGGATTGTGCTAAACTTCACCCGTTACTTCCTGGAGAACTGGCCGCGCACGGCGCCATCAGGGTACCGCTTGGTGTGGATATTCCCATAGAACTCGCTGGGCTTATCCGTGACCTTCGTCAGATCCGCCAC